ATTTTTAATTTTCAGAAAGCTGTTTTCTAATTTTATTTGTTAGAAATGACTTCAAATTTGATGCATAATTAGCATACAATAAATTCAAGCTTCTTTCTCTCTTTTTCCCAGGAAGGGGATGAGAGGTAGGTGCATGTACAATTATCAACCCGCTATTTTGTTATATAATTTAAATGAAAATAAAAACCATTAAAAAATTGTCAACATCTTACTCAAAAATAATGCTAGAAAAATAATATTAAACAAAAATGAGCTATATCCATATTTTTTTTTTTTTTTTTTTTTTTTTTTTTAAATGAGTCTAACCAATCTGATCACCATGACTGTACTTCAAATAGCTTTACTGCTAACTTTGCTGAAGGGAGAGGGTATTTATAATGTACATCTTGCCCCCCCCCCCCCCAAAAAAAATGGGACAGTTCTATATCTCCCATACTACTGGGCTGATGACGGAATTCAGCTTGCGTTTTTCATGTCTCTCTCGAAAGTGCAAGTTAGGATATATATTAGATTTTTATATAGCATTGTTTCAACTTAGGTATTTTGACACAAAATCAGAAACTTTCTGAAATAATAAACCAATTTTTTTCCATATTTCAATTCTACGACTCAAATTAAGCCAAACTATCAAGTTTTGTAAAAGTTGCACAAGTAGTTTTAAAAAATTTAACTCTCAAAATTTTAGCTAATCTATGTTAATTGAATTTCGTATATATTTATTAATACCTCTTTTTTTATTAAAATTATTTGATTCTTCCTTTCACATTTCGAAATTTAGGTTCATTCCAAATAATATTCACCCACTTTTTTATGATTTTTTTTTAATTTTGTATTTTTAAATAATTTTTATAAATTTTTTGAAAAAAAATTTTGAATTATAAGCTACAAAATTTTTACCTTAAAGAAGATGTATTTCTAAGCATACCTGCAAAAATTTATGAGTTTTTTATTCAAAATTTTCTATGTCATATGTGAATTTACATCTTAGAACTTTTTGAAATTATGAAAATTAAGAGTTCTTTATTCAAAATTTCCTAACCTATACGTGAATTTACATCTTGGCATGTTTTGAAATTTGGCATATTTGTTGTAAGCGAAAATAACGCCAAATGTGGCGTTCACACTTTGTTAAAACTATTTGAAAGTATGAAGAATGACCTTTTTTCAGCTTCTGTACAATGAAAAACAGGAAAGGAAAATAGGTTGCTATAAATTAAGAAGTTTGCCAAGTAAATTATTCCTGGTGCCAACTGAAAAAAATATGTCAAGATATATTTTCGCACCAAAAATCGCAAAATTTAATATCTAGGCATAATTTGAGTCGCATAATTGAAATATGGGGGGAAAAATTAGTATGTTAATTCAGAAAAATCCGATTTTGTGTCAAAATACCTATGTTAGAACAATGCTATCTATATAAATCTATATATATCATAAACCACGCTTTCGAGACATGGAAAATGCAAATTTCGACAATTGATCCAGTAGAGCAGAAGATACAGAACTGTCAATTTAATTTTCTTGTTTTGTTTTTGTACAGGGTGTACATTCCAATCTCTCTTTTCACAAAACTACTGATGAGAGAATGTCACTAACAATCATATTTGTGTGAACATTCAACACCTATAAAAAAGGTGGTTTTTAATAACTTTTTTTTAATGCTCTGTCACACATTTGGTCTCAAAAAAGACAAATGTCATCTTGAACATTGCAAGCAATAAACAGAATTAAGTATTTAAAACGTATATAAATAAATAACAATAAATGAAAATATATTGAATGTTTATTTTACCGGCAAGAAGTCAAGAAGAGAATGTCACTAAGTTTAGATGCCAAAAATAATAAAAGCCTTTTACATAATTAAATTTCAATGAAGGAGATTTATTCATTTCCAAAAACACAAATTTTTACTTTATAAAAATTGAATTTATTTTTAGATCGCCTTAAAGCATTTACTGACTAACAGTATATAAATCCTTCCGCTGTTAGTAACTTGATTTTTGAAGCAGCGAATCAGTTGCAAATACAAAGGTATTTTTTTATACCAGCAATTTTTTACGTTGCATTTCAATACAGCTTCCCCAGTAGTATATAACTTCATTTCAGGCCCAGTTTTGCAAATGCAGGTGGGTAATAAAATAACCTTGGAAGAATGCAAAAGTTTCATTTCCAATTGACAGCAAATTAAGGATTACAATCTTTTGAATCCCTCCCCCACTAAAAAACCTACTTCTTACCAACAAAACAAACTGAAAGCTTTCAAATTTTGCATTATACCCAAAGGGGCGTTTTTTAACATTTTGTTTGTTACCTTTGCTTATTAAATATCATGTTCTTCGCACTTAAACCATAAAATTCAATTCAACAGCAATATCACAAAATATTTAAAAGAGTATATCTTTAAAATTTCCGATGCTGGAGATAAAAACTTTTTTTCCCAATGTGCGAGACTGTGTTTCAGAAAATTCTAAAGATACGCTCTTTTTTTAAATATTTTGTGATATTGCTGTTGAATTGAATTTTATGGTTTAAGAGCACAGAACATGGTATTTAATAAATACAGGTAACACACAAAACATTAAAAAAATGCCTCTTTGGGCATAATATAAAATATGAAAGCTTTTTTTTTTTTTTTTTTTTTTTTTTTTTCCACTATATTAATTTTCTGAAAACTAGCTGCTCAAGAGGCTAGCTAGCTAAAATATTTATCATAAAGAAAAAAGTATATAACGATTTTAATGAGTCAGCTAGTGTCATATCAGAAAAATATTTAATATTGTTAATTACACATTTCATGATTTAAATACATTTTTATTTAAACCAATCATATTAAAAAGTAAGAAAAACTATTTTTAAGAAATTAATTTATTGCTTTCCAATCACTTGGTTTGCTACTTAGTAACAGAAAGATTAAATCTGAAAATTAAATATCTTATGCTTTAGTGAACAGCACCAAGCTGTTCCACAGAGATAGTAAGTACTCTATTTGAGACATAGGCAACATAATTCTTTCAAATAGCCAAATCTGTGAATTAAAATTGAAAGAAAAATATCTTACATTTTGCCAAATAGCAATAATCTGGTATGCTGGAGATAAAAATGTTTATTTTGACGGCCAAACTGAGGAGTTTGTTAGAGAAAATTAATTAAACTTACACAAAATACAAAATAAATCAAAATTCAACTTTCAAAGTGCCCCTGATCGAGGGAAGACTACATGTATTAAAAATGCTGTGGCTCTAGATGCCGTCATTTTCCCATAATGCAAGGAATACATATAAAAACATACATACATATTCTTCATAATTTATTTTTTTTAAATAATTTATCATTAGAATATTTGGTAGCAACATTTTGATGTAATTTGGACATAAAAATGATACTGACAAAAAGTGAGTTTTGAGCTTAACAAACACCTTTGATGCTAATAATAATATCAATAAACCCCAAATATTTTTTAAACAATAAGCTGCATTAACAAACTCATGTTCCTCAATGAAAAACTCACTGTTACGACAATTACTGTATACTGAAATATGTAATAAATTATATAGGAAGTCCTTAATTATGCTAATAGTGCAAAAGTTTAACTGAACTAAGAATAAATGGTATTAAAAGAATTATTAATTAGATTAGTGAAGTAAATGTTTATAAAATTATCAATTTTACATGCAAATTATATGAATTACAAATATTATAAATTACATACCATTAAAAATGAAATATATACATTATTAAGAAGTACATATACTGCTTCTTAACTACGCAATCATGTAATGCCTAATTTTAACTTGAAAATACCATTATAAATTTTATAGACTTGCAGAACAGCAACATTATTTAGAACTGGCAATTTTCCAACTGTTTCTAATTAATAATCTTATGTATAATGAAAGATAACCTTTGAGAACTGGCAATGAGCCAGAATTTGTAAATGACAAATTTTCAGATACTATATATAATGTAATGCAATATATTTAAACTTGATGCAAAATATATATGTATATATTACACTGACATTTCTTCATATTTAACATAAAATATCTCTTAACTGTAACTTACCTGAATATTAAGTAAAAAATTTTTCTGATTATTTTTAACTAGTTATAAGCAGATAATTTCAGACTTTTCTGTTATTGGGACTGGATTAAGAAATAAAATGTATGCATATATATGGGTATATGTGTGTTCATGTTTATTCTCATGATTGCATGTATGTATGTACACATTCAGAAACGCTAATAATGCAAAGTACCCGTAATTTTCCCAGCAACAAATCTCGCACAGTTTCAGGGAAACAAAAATCCAAACAGAAGTATTACACGCTTTCTTAATTTAATTCAGTCCTAGAATACACAGCAGGAATATAAGTTAAAAAATTCAACATATAAATATCAATTTATGATATGCAACACTACCCCCAAAAATTGCCAACTCATTGCAGACTATACCATAGGCTACTTTTACAGTTACATCCAAACTTAATTTTTAAAACGTTTACGGTACTTTTCAGTTAATCACCTGCCACCAAATCTAATCAGAAACAGGTTGGTTAATCCTAATAATGTAAAACAAAAGGTTGGCCCATGACAGGAGTGAGATGCTAGAATTTAAGAAAATTCAAGTGCCAAAACTAGATTTTCCAAGAGCTATAAATCTGTATTACATCATTTTATAAAATAATGAGACAGATTTTTTAAAGAGAAAGAACCATTAACAATAAATCAATGAAAATTTTGCATTTTTGTGCATATATAATGTGGTTACATTATAACCAGATTGCATTATAAATTCATACATTATAATTTTTTCCAAATATTCCCAAATTAATAAAGGTATGTAATATTTGCATATGTTAATTTTTAAAGGGTGGAAAATAGGGAAATTTTTCAATTTAATAAAATATGTGCATTACAAAATACATTTTACACCTTTACAGATATTGCAAAAGAAACACTAGGATATAGACATAAATCATAGATCAGGTCTAAAACACTTACAACTGCTGGAGGGAATGTCATAGGATTTTGGTCTAATACCAAATCTTGCAAGGAAGTCATAAAACGCAATTGGGTTGGAAGCGCCGAAATTCTATTTGCAGAAACATCAAAAGAGATCAGTCTCAGCTGGCAAAGTTCTTTAAAGAGAAAATGTGTTATAGACACGTACAAAAACGAGAATGCAAATAATTCATGATACACAAAGTATCTTTAAATAATAAGTGTGATAAATTAAAATCTAATGACATAATACAACAAGATTGCAAGTATTACATATGCATTTATCTATTAATGGTAAATTATATATTTCTAATTAATTCATATTGGGAGGGAATATTTACTGAGGATTCATGTAATCAATGAATCAGCAAGAGTCACAGCTAGCAGTTTTGTCCAACTGGAATTTGCATAGAATTACACATAGGAGGAAAGAGGCTTATATAAATAATTTTAAATTTTTTTATCATTATCTTGATGCTGTTATGAATTCAAAAGCAAAAATTAATTTATAACAACACTTACATTTTTTCTTTATCTCAATCATTATGTGATTTTTTTATTTTTTTAAACAAAAATCTAACAAAAAAAAGAAGGGTGCATAAACAGCTCGAAAGGTGCCCTGAAAAGGCAGGATGAAGCAATATCATTACAATACCTTTTTGTAGCTCTATCATGTCATCATTTTCATGAAAAATGAAGTTTGATTTGTGTTTTCTCATGCCTTTAACATTTGTCTTTTAAAAAAAATTCAATATAAAATTCCATCCCAAAAATTATGCACCCAATAAGATTTTAGATCTGGAAGTTTTCTTTTTCTAGACTGAAATCAAATTCTAAATCAGTGGGAAAAAATTTGAGCTTTTTTATATTCACTAAATCTTTTATTCCTTTTTCTCCTGTTCTCTAATTTTTCACACACAGCCTGACCTATTCTAGTTCCTTCAACCCATCAGTCAATTCCTGTACTTTATTTTATTCACTAACACTTCTTTATATTATTAATACGAGCTTTCATAAATGGTCAGACACATTCAGATTCTGGACAGTTCCCTTTTATTTTGCTACTACAGAATTTGATTCAGATCATCCATACAAGAATTTTAAGCAGCTTAGAAGCAAATATAACTAATTTTGCTCTACTTCTGTATTCCTTTCTTAAAATATCAAAGAAACTATGAGCTACTTTTAATGTAATATGGCTAGAATAGCTAATAATAAAAGAATATTTAAGAAATATCACAAGTGTTTTCTAAAAATACCCAATAATAATTTTAAATTTTGTATAAAAACTTATTAATACCAATGTATTTCGCAAAATTAACTTTCAACTTTAAAAACTGCTTTGAATTTGCTTCAACAAATTTGAACACATCTCTTGGAAAATAAACAACTGTTATTGGTGAAAACAATAAATAGCTAATTGTACTGAAAATGTGATAAAACAAATTACAGAACCGCCTCTGTCGGTAATTTTTGAATTTTTTTTACTTCAGATTATCGAAGTGAAACACGTGTTATTCATATGCACTCTTCTCTTACCCTACAGTGCACTTACAAAATTTTAGAACTGGATTTCTTTCAATTTAATCATAGCACATCTGCCAAATAAGTAACCAGTGACAACCCTTACTTTCTTTTCAAAGAATGGAGCAGGCTTAAATGGAAGTTTTTTGTTGAATTTATACAATAAGTAACTATTGTTAAAGATAGAAAGCCTTTACGTGTTTGATATATTATTACTAGTTGACGTTTTATTTATATCTCGAAGGTAAACCAATGATAATTGGATGTTAACAGAAAGTTCATGACAATTTTCTTTTCTAAAAAGGCCCAATTAACATTTTCTGTCTTGGATGAACAGGAATTAATTAAAAAAAAAAAGTCTTTGCTTAAAGGAGAAGACAAGAAATTTTCTAACTAAAATTTTTACATTACAAAACAAAAATTTCATAGCTTTCCAAGGAATCAGGGGAAAACCTAATAGAAGGTACAGATTCTAAAACATCTAGACGTTCAATGAAATATCCTCACAGAAAAATAAACGTATAAAATTATTCACATGTTAACCAATTAAGGATTCAGTAAAAATGGAACTTCTGTAGGTAACTCCTATTACCTTCCTTTGTTATTGGATTGGTCTCTTTAGTGGTTCAGGCTATCAAACTTTTATGAATGGCCGTCTATATATGCAATCTAACAGTGAAAATGCCACAGCATGAGGATAGGAATACAGTGCTACAAAAAGTGCACAATGCTTGCACATGTGACAGTTATGTAAATGATTAAAATTCCAGCTGATCAATAAATTGTGCATATATTACAAGCATACACCTAGTAGATGAAACCACCATTCAAGACATCATCACTGCTGCAAGTGAGTCTTTCAGACTAGAAACAAACAAGAAGTAATAATATCTAAGATATTGCTATATGCAATTTCATTAAACAGATTTGTCCATGAGAGCTTTTGCCATAGGTCTTTGTACCTTTAGTTGGTCCTTGTGCTATACTACAGACAAAAGAAAATGAGATGCCACAGTCACATTTTAGGCATGTTTGGAGATAGTGATCCCAGAGACGAATTGTTCAATGTTGCAATGATAGCTAAGGATTGACATCAGAGTGTATAGGTCATTCTACCAAGGTTCTTTAATATACTAAAAATTAGGCCAGGAACGGAAAAAGCATGCCATTGGTTGCTGCGAGTGACAAGATACATCGGTCGACGTGTCTGCTGCATGATTTCAGTAATGGAAAATTGTAAACTAAAGCAAAATGATTTTTTTATATGTAGTGTATATAATAACATATTGGAAATACCGGGTATATACTTTCCTATTAAGTATTTTGTCAAAGCAAATGTTTATTTTATATTCAGAATTCGTACAAATGCTAAAATAATTGTAAACATCATTTTCTTAAAAGAAAGCATTAGAATATGAAAAATGATATTTCAGTTAATGAAACTAAATACTGTAAAACGCAGTATTTTTAAATATTTTTATGTTGCATTGCCTGCACTTCATAAATCTTGTCTAATAGAATACATGAAGGCAGAACTGCCAAAACCATGGTAATAACATAACCAAAAAGTATTTTCCCATATGTTTTCATTGCTCATGCATTTTTTTAATACAAATGAATTTTGATACTCTGTGAGTAATATATGATCGTGATTTTCAGTTTAAATTACATATCTCAAGTAAAAAATATATAAAATGATTTGCACCACCAAATTCATACTTAATCAATATAAAATTCTACAAATTTTTTTTACCACATCAGTATACTTTTTAAATAGACTTATCACATTCTTTTTAAGATAAAAAGTCACTTATATTGATTCACTTCAGATGTCAGCAGAAGTACATACATTTTCAGTATTATCTAAAAGCACTCTTTCCCTAATTCTTAATTTCAATTAAGCCTGCGTACAAATTAAATATTTTTAATAGCTACCGTATTTATATCACCTTGTTTCTTAAAATGCTTTTGTTATACTCGAAATAGTGTTCAGTATTTAAATATTTTCCTTTCTGCTATAATTAAAAACAAATTATATGGAATCAAAATTAAAAATATATGTAACAGTTAAATAACACTGAAGAGAATATCTTACTCTTTCGCTATTTGTATTCCAACACAATACACATATTTGTTTTCCTTCAGGGTATTCAGTATTTCATGGGGAAATTCACTTAGTTATGTTAATTAAATTACATCAGACATATGATTCAGTTAAATAATACTGATGGGAATACGTCACTCACTGATTCGATATTTGCATGGTAGTGTGGTCGAGAAACTGTTCTTTATTCAGGGTGAAGAATATACCAGTTAACTTTGTACGCAATGCTTAACCTAAACATTGCTTCAACATATAGAATTACTTTTGGGATGTAAAGAAAATAACCAAAACACATAGGCATGTGATTGAAGGTGTATAAGCAAATTTAATAATTAGCTAATCATTTAGGTAGTCAATATTTGTAAACATGACACAGAGTTTAAACATCTCATTGTGATATAAGTCTCATTTACAAAATAAAGATTATGATAAAAAGTGATTTAAGATCAGAAAAAAATGAAATTTAAATGTAAAATATTAGTAAAATGACCTATAAATGTACAATTACATATACTAATGTATGCATTCGATCACAGTTATGTATGTAAACTACATAAATTCATTAAAAAAACAAGCAGATATTTTATCTGGTTGTAATGACCAACTCAAATGTGTCACTGGATGATGTGTCCCTTCAACTAAATCAGATGTGTCACTGGGTGCAAACTGAGATGCACAGTCTATCTTATCAGCTTATAGCCTTTTCTTTTTGGGGGAAAGGGAAGCTAAATTTTCCAATGCTCGTTTCCTTGTTTCGCGAGCCTGACACCTACTTGCTCTATCTCTCTTTAGCATAAATTTGGATGAATTATTCGTGTCAGAAATATTTTTCCATATTAACTTCAGAAGTTATTTTCACACGATGATGATGTAAGATGTAAAGTGGGAACAGCATTGGCTTTCAGCACCCTTTCAGAAGTTGAACCAAGCAATTATGCATTTAGATCCCATATGTAGTCATCAGGTGTAAAATGAAGAGCACATATTCTTGCATTTTCGATGCTGGAATTATCTGCTTATTTGCAGCGAACAATCCGTAACTTACGAAGTTCTGGATCACTTGGAAAACGATGGTATGCGATACCCTAACTTCTAGTTTTTCTTCTAAATTCTGACATAATGATACAGCACAATTTGCAATTTCTACCCAGGTATAATAGCAAATCAACAAATAAAATCAAACTGTTGATGCAACAAATGTAAACAAACGCCAAGCAGTAACGATTGTCACTCACACGACGTCATGCTCATGCGGAATAATTTTCTCCCGGCACTACGCATCGCTCTTGGGCCACCCCTGCCATTCTACTGGATGTTATGCTATAGCATATCAACAGTCTGTGAATGAGAATATTTTGACAATGCACAAGATGTTCTCGATGACCCAATATTTAACAAGGACAGAGTTGCATGCTTGGCTGGAAGGCTTTCATTGCTGTTGTTAAAAATGGTATCATACCAAACCTGAACCTGGCGCAGAACAGAAAATAATGTTGGTGACTGTTTTTTTCTAAGGAATGATGATCAATGCATGTCATTATGGAAGAACTCGCAGTTTCTTAATGTGAAATCATAACATACGAATATATGTACAAACGTCACAAAAAAGTCTTATGAATCCATTTTATAATCTGTTTTTGAAAAAAAATAGTCCTTCATTCTGTCCATATGTATAGATGTCACACACAAAAAAAAATCATTTAAATGAATTCAAAAACCGTCAATATGGTTTTTTTTTTTTTTTTTTTTTTTTTTTTTTTTTGAAATCATACTGAAATTGTTCATCATTGCAATACTTCTACTTCGTACAAGGAAGTAACTGCACTAAAAATAAATTGAAAAAGTGTTCTAGATTTATAGAAGATTAATTTTCAAGTTTATGTTTTGTGTTCCTTATGAGAAAAAAATTTCTTCGACAAGAAATTCTTCCTTATTAGTATCACTGCGATCATAATTATTTGACTTTTTTATGTGTTTATTCAAAAGTTTTGATGCAGTACAAAAGACACGGTAGGAACTGAACTTGCTGTGATTTCTTTGAAAGTTCTGTCATGTGCAAAAATCACTTCACCTCAATCCACTCAGTTATCAGTGTCTTCTTTCTGCTCCGACGATCCAGGATTAACCACCACAAAATTATGTTTAGCATAAAAAACATGCCCCAGTCTAGCTGAGGACTCAGTTCATTACCATGTGGTCCATAAAAACACTAATTTCACCCTCATCAAATTAATGCCATGTAAGATTCAATAATGTTATAAGGTATTTCTCCCAGTCTCCTAAAAACCCCAGTTGCCCTTTAAAAGGAATAGTATATAAGCTATTTCTCCCACCTTCTTAGTATGCCTTCCTAGTTATCTGCACACTGGGCGCGTATTCCAGAGGTCCGTGGTTCAATTCCCGGCGAAGGCATTGCTCATTTTTTCACTTCTCCTGCTTCCAAAAAATACCTAATGTCTCTACAATTTAGCACCCAAAATAAATGTTCCCCTTCTTATTAATCCCCCCATATTTGAGGCCACTGAAGTCTTATTTGCATGTGAGAATAAAATCACTTGTTTTGCATCTGTTTGGTAATCTATAAATTTGAGTCTTCATTTTGTGTCATTTTCTCGGCAGCATGTATGCAAGATTGAAAGGAAGTTCACTGTTGTAACACAGCCTAGTAGTACTGTCAATGAATTCTCCAATTTTGAAACTACTTTTAAATGTGACTTTACTGATGATTCTGGCTTTGTCCTAATATATTGTAGATTGCAAATGATTTTTAATATGTTTAATTAATGGCACGCCATTTTTATGCAATTATTGTTTATAAAATTATGTTGCCTCTGTGTATAATTTTTAAGTTAAACTTTTTTCATCGATTTGCAAAAAGCTCAGAAAAATTTACACATTATGAAAGGAATAGGCAGATTTGCATCTTTAAATTGATCTGTTTAGATAATTACTACTTTTCAATTATTTCTCATATAAAACTATGCTTAAATGGCAAATCAAATTCAGTTACAAATGAAGGCCCTTAATGATCGACTCTTTCATGGACAAATTATATTCTTCAAATAAATAACAGAAGGCAAACTTAACTAATCATTTCTAGGTATATTTTTAAAATGAAATAAACTTACCTAATGGAATTTCTACTAGTAGATTCCTTTTTAAATTCAATCGCTGGAGTGTAGACACACTTCCCAGCTGAGGAGGGATTATTGTTATTTCATTACAGCTAACATCCTAGAATTCAATTTTAAAACACATTTATAATACACAAGACTTAATTACCAGTGAATTTTTTGTTTTATCAAAAAGCAAATTGTAAACTTCAACAAATAATTCAAAGAAAAATTCCAATAATTATGTTATATTTGTTAAGCTTCTAAACACAAATAGGTATTAATTTTAAAATGTTGTTAATCAGAGTAGAATTTTCTAGAAATCTTAAAATTCATTTGAAATGAAAAATAATATTATCATTAACAATGAATATTTAAAAGAAGTGCTTGGGAGAGATTTGCAAAGCATAAGAATTTAATTCTCAGAAAAGCCATGATCTTAGTTTCACAGGAAATTCATTCCTTTGGAAATCTTTATATTATGACAAGAAAAATTACTTTGTGGCACCTCGATTGTAAGTGTGAATAGTAATTAAGAAGATAGGTCATAAAATGAGATGCAATATTTTCAAGTGCGTTTAGGAGCAAAATAGGCAATCAAAATTTAAAATATGTTGACTAAAATTTTAGGTTCTTCCTGATTATCTGTTCCTCTGCCAAAATATATTCAAGAAGCAAAGCACTGTGTCACTAAAATAGTTATGAGGCAACTCATGATGGCACCACTTTTGTTGCATCCTAGGTATGAATGTAGCACATCCATTTTGATTGATGGACAATACAGCAGCCGAGTTTGTGCAACTCCAATGTTTTTAAGTGAAAGGGGATCTCTATGTATGCGAGAAAAACGATTTCTTCAAAAAGGTAAGGGTTTTATGGTTGATGCTTCTTATTTTTTAAATTTTATCACTGACTGTACTTGTATGAACTTGTTATTGCACTGCCATTTTGAAAATTGCTACCTTTAGTGCATTAGATTGGCAAAAAATCAACAACAAATTTGTAAATGTTCTCCAAATGAATTGATGACCTTTCAGTGGGAGTACAGGTAATCAGAAAGTACAAAATTTTACTGAAAACAAGCATGATTAAACCGACATACATCAATGTCAAGAGACTGCGAGAAGCAAAATGGTCCAAGACTGATCAAATTCGATATTCATAGCGAAAGAGCTACAGATTAATTAAATAATAGTTAAGCTCATGCATGAATCAATATGAGAAAGAATTTTGTAAATTTTTACCTCAAACATGCAGTCAAAGTACGCTCTTTCAAACAGCTTAATCAATTAGATCATCCCTCATATTCACTTATGTTATGGTGTCACATTAATTTAAAAGTTGTAAATTTTGTATTTATTTTATTAAGTTATTTATTTATATCCACTGCAGTTCACTGTCTCTTCTGAAAGTGAAATTTTTCTATTGGTTCTTTCACTTGCTGTGAGATTTTTCCCATTGGCCAAAATCTTTAACTGTAAATTAACTGTTACAAACAGCAGTACTGTTCTGTTATTGGGACCGGATTCCGAAATGATGAATGTATGTGTATGTATGTTTGCACATACATTCATGTTTACATACATATATGCATACATGAACACATCCATACATACATTCATGTTTACATACATATATGCATACATGAACACATCCATACATACATTCATGTTTACATACATATATGCATACATGAACACATCCATACATACATTCATGTTTACATACATATATGCATACATGAACACATCCATACATACATACATTTCTGGATCGGTCCTGTTAATAGAACAGTACTCAAAGAGCTCCTAAAAGGTAGGAAGTTACAATTGCAGAATCTCTCTATTTTCCTTTCTTTTTTCTTTCTTTCTTTTCCTTTTTTTCTATTTTCCTTTCTCTATTTCGTACATGCACCTTTTTACCTGCAAAACAATTTCTTCTTTCACCATTTACAGAATCCACACTGAACCTCCTGAACCACAATTGATCACTGATTAGGGTCACTCAAATTTGGAAAATAAGACTAAAACAGTTTCTTCCACTCAGAACTGGCTTCCTGCCAGTGGCATTTTTTTTTTTTTTTTTTAATAACTTTAAAAAAAAACACTTCCTAGGCAAAATATATAAATTACTAAATTAAGTATAAGCAAATGAATAATTTTATATTTATACTACCACAAAATACAATGCAAAAATTAAGAATATTACAAAAAATTAAATTAACACTGTCAAGCAAATGAAAAACTATGCATTTAAATCATTCAATAAAGTACACAAGATTTTTAAAAAGGAATATGTTACAGAAGAAAACCATTCATTCTGAAAAAGATAATAAAATAATATAATAGTTCATCATCCATAATAAATATTAATCTTTATGTGCCTCACAATAAAAATGAAAAAAGTTAGAACTACACTGCATTTAATAGATTTATTTTAATGCACAACATATATTAACTACGCTGTTCATTTTTTAATGGCAATTATACTTTGAAGAGGGGTAAAAAAAGAATTATATTCTAAACAAATGTGTGATGAACAGCTCATTAATGGATGCAGAAGACAATTATGGGTTGCTAAAATTATATCAGATGTAAGGTGAGTAAAATAATTCTATAAGAAAACTAAAATTACATTAACTCTTCATTTACTTTCTTTTAAAGGAGGGCAACTTTTGTTTATTGGTTACTATTTATAATATAAACTTTTCATTACTTGAAAAGGATTAATCTTTTCTTTAACTTCCCAGACTTCGGGGGGAAAAATTAAAGTTATCCCCGACTTTTAGGAAAAAAGATTATATTTTCCGTAATCACTTTGCATTTCCTTTACTTTTCAGGAATTTCCAGAATTGACTGAGAACCATGAGAAAAGTAACACATTCTCTTTATGCAACAAATTATTATTTTAAAAAATCAAAAGAATAGAAAAAGCAAACATACCAAATCTTTGAGGCATTTCATGGAAGAAATTTCTTCAGGAATGGAAACAATACGATTGTTCCTTAGAATACACACTTGCAATGGAAGATGGCAAAGAGCAATAGGAATGACTGTCAACTGGTTACGACTAAAAAAAAAAAAAAAAAAAAAAAAAAAAAAAAAAATGCACCAGAAAAACATGATAAACTTTCAAATTACTGAAATAATCAAATGTATATTAACATAAAATCAATAGTTTTAACTACACAAAAGTAAAATAAGAAATAAAAAAAGATATTTCTGCAAAGACATACATGTATCAAAATTATAATAACTGATGAGTGTTTTAAAATATTTAATAAAAAAGTGCAGTAATCATATTCTGATTAGTATTTAAAAGTAGTAATACAATGTCAATCTTCCTCTATCTATCGCATTGTACATAACTAGACTTATGAATTAAATATTAAATAACTGACTTTTTTTTTTTTTTTTTTCCCCAATTATATGGTTACTTTTTACAAGTTTTATCATGGGCTTGTTCTTCACTGTGTAAAGGACAAGAACTGATTTTACTTTGAAATCAATACTGTATTATTTCAAAATAAAGAACAAGTTACAACTACTTTAATGGCCAGAATGACTTCAACAATTAACCAACTGGCTCATTATTTGCAGAGACTAACAGTACACTTAAAAAGAGAAAATTTTTTCAATTTTATCATTTTTTATTTTTGAATTCTAACTAGATCACCAGATTGATGACCACATTTTTTTTTCCCCTTCTCTCGAACTATTTAAAAAGAAATGCATATGTAAACAAGCCAAGAACCATAGAATGGCTTAGAGCCAATATTCAATAAGCAATTCAGAAGCTTAGGACCCCAAATTTCAACAAGAGTTATGCTAGCACACCAAGTTGAAACTAACAATGGCCATCATTTGAAAGATATTTTTAAAACAAAATGCACATGCATTTCTATAAATTGCACTTATTAAAGAACAAAAAAAAAGTAATATTGAAAGGAAAACTATTATTAAATATTTAAATTACAATATTAATTATATTACACTTTGCATTTCTCCAGGACACTAAATCTATGTACAGAAACCAAACATATATAAGAAGTTTTCCACCAGGCATTTAGAAAAAGGGATGGAGAAAGAAAAGATGATAAAAAACAGGATATTAATGAATTCTTAAAGTAATATTTCTATACACTTTATTTACTGTAATTTTGGGCAAATAAGATGCCCTGGCGTATATGCCACACACATGATAATTGATTAAAACAGTGAAAGTTCATTGGATACACCATATATGTCACAGCAAAGCATTTCGAAACATGGCACTTAATATTCCTTTATTCCTTGCCATATTGATGTAACATACCAGTCATCCACGAGATTGCAGTTTGGTGAGGATATTTTTGTTTCTTCAGACAGTGCCAAAAGTCACTTCTGTTATTTCCCATGTAGTTGATGCAGTTTAGCATCATCAGAAACAAAATTTCTCCCTTTTGCATTCAATCATTTACTGGGTTAGAGCAGACTGAAGGGTACCCCTTGCATTATCGCAAAGTTCTTGTTTCATTTATTGCCGATTTGTTGTTGTGTTTATTGCCAAGTTTCCGTTTCATTAATGGTAACCTGAGTAGTATATTAAAGGCTAAAGTGCAGAATCTCTCACTTATTTGTTTGGTGCTTTTTACAAGTGTAAGAACAATTGGATGTTTGTCAATTTTCTTTGACTTTTTAAGTGAAAATAGGTCTATGTATACATGGATACCGAGTATGTGCAATTCTTAAAAACGCGACAAGCAGTGGACGATTCTGCACTTTCCCCCTTTATATATCCGTAAATATACTTTTATCTAGATCCTTTGACTTTTTAAGTGAAAATATATCGATGTGTACATGGACAAAGAGAGTGTACAATGCCAAGTTTGTGCAATTCTCTGACCTTTTTATAAGTGAAAATAGGTCAACGTGTACATGGATCAAGTCAAGGGAAAGCGCAATTCCTAGTTTGTGCAAATTTGTGACTTTTTTTTTTTTAAGTGAAAATAGGTCAAAGTGTACATGGATACCGAGTATGTGAAATTATTTGACTTGTTATTTAGTCTTTGCAAAAATCGCCGCTACACAAAAACAAAATAACAAGTCAAACAGCTGCACAAACTCGGTATCCACGTGCCGCCAAAAATCGCCAATTTTTGCCAAGGGGTATCCGCAAATAAACTGGTTTCTGAACACAATAGCAAAAAATTTTCTATTTTGTTACATGGTTTTTATGATGCGATTCAATTTCATAATTTTTCTTTTCTGAATTCAATTCTGCTGTCTGGCTTTTGTAAATAATTATGCAATTTTGCAATTCCTGTTATTAATAAATGAACTGAAATTGAGCATTGAATTTCAGACATACCTAAATTCATATATGTGAAAGGATATTTCACAGTATGTACAAAACAAATACATATAGCAAAGAAAAATTATTGCAAGCATACAAATGAAACAAAGGCCAGATATTGCAAACATACAAATTAGTTCAATTAAACAGAAAATGAAAATATTTTCTAGTAATATAAGAGTTCTACATATGAATAAAATATAAACAAATTCGAGAATTAGTTTCCACAATTTAAGTCACAGAAACATATTTCATTCAGCCCCTTTTTTTTTAACACAATGGAGCTTGTCTGCCTGGTAGGCATACAGCTACATAATTTTATTTTCTACATTATGCAGAATTGCATATATTGTCCATATTAGTTTTCGTCTCCATTTTTGCTTACTTAGTTGCTAACATAAATAGGAAACAATTCGTCAATTAAAAATTATCTAAAAGTCCTGTTTTTTTTTTTAATTCTAAATCAATGAATTAGATAAAATGGACAAATTTCATCTTTAACAGGAATGGAAGAAATTCATTCATGTGATTACAAATACATGTCCATGTGATTATAACTTGTTGTTCATCAAATACATACCTTAGATTTATGTAAACTAAAGATTGCAAATTAATAATGGCATCTGGAACTGAGCGTATCACATTATTATAACAATCTAGCTCTTCGAGTAGTAAGTAAAAGCATATTTCTTCAGGCAATTCACTAAGACGGTTCTTTGACAAATCTAAAAAATAACAAAATATTTTTTTTTAAAAATTACAAATCAGTCTCTTAAATTGCGTTTTTATGATTCTGCCTCATGTTTCGGCAGATGTAAAATTAAAATACATCATTTTATTATTTAAGCACAAATGGAGAAATTAAACATCTTAAATATTTTAACAATTTCTATTACACTACTCTTAGAAAAGAAAGCATGATATTACCTAATAGGTAAATAATTTTTATGACCCATTTTCATATTTTTGAGAGTCATCTGTCAAATGCTGATAATTTAAATTATAAATAACCGTAAGGACATATCGTAAAATTTTTAAATCCTTCAGCTCATTTCCTACACGTAAAACAATAAATCAACGACAATAATAGAAAATATTAAGAATTAATGATAATATTACTCACCAGCTCTCACAACATCAGATAAATCATATTTATAAGCAATTTTTGGAAATTCTTTGAGTTTGCGATAGCTCAATTTTAGTTCACCTTTCAATTGTGCATCTTCCAAAACTCGATCTATATTTCGCAACGAAGGTCCTGGGCTGCTTAAGATGGAATTCACTAATGCCATACCGCAAATGAAGTTGAAACATTTCTTTTTTCACATAAAGGAAGCCCACGCACATAAAATAAAAAATTATCGTCGTGCATTGTATTTCAATGAGCAGGAAACTAATACAATTATCATTTTGAAATAATCATACATCAACTCAAATGTAAGACAACAGCTTACAATATATGAATTCTCAAATATATAAGATATGAAAATTGTTCTTATAACATGAGCATAACGCACATTTGTTCTTCGATGTGTTTATAATTAGTCAAAATTCATAACCAAGTTCAGGAAAAGTTCTTCAGCAATTTCAAGCTATAATAATTACAAATTTCAACAAGCCCACATCTTCATCTATCTGTTTTAAAATCATTCAATGAATCTAATTACATATTATTACAATACTTCCATTCATCCTCAGCCAAATTCAACAGATTTCGGGTAGAGGGCAGGGCAATATGAGTGATAGCTTGGATGAGTCAATAATACTTTTTTTTTTTTTTTCGTTATCTATGCAAATATAGTAGTATAACATACAAAAAAATTTGTAATTATAGCTTATTTTAAAATAAAGAATTCTGATAGACTTAATAAATTGAAAACATAATTAATGATGACAGTAAATTTGATTAATGATAATCAGTTTAAGCAAAAACATTGATATCTAAATAAAACAGATTTTCATATAATACAATTAAAATAATTTAGCTATTTAATGTACACTTCATTTTAGATTGTTAGTCCAAAGGGGCTTTCTCCTGAGAAACGATTGTTTTTATATAATTTATAAAAGAAACTTGAAAAATTTGCAATCAAGTTGATCAGGACTGTAACTGAAAACTTCTGCGCAAGCGCAGTACTGAGTATTGTAGTGTCGTGTGTGTTGTTCTGCAAGGGATATCCAAAAAAACATGGCTGTTGGTAAGAATAAGGGTCTGGCTAAAGGAGGTAAAAAGGGTGTTAAAAAGAAGGTGTAAGTATTATAATATCAGATTAATAATTTCGAGTGTAAATATTTCCTAAATAAGAGATCTAAGGTCTTTCAAAATATACTTTTCTGTCGATGCAAAAAGATTGGGGCATGTAACTGTAAAGGTTTCACTGTGTTTAATATTCTTTCGCTTGCCGTTAATACGGGTTTTATTACTGTTTTAATATAAATTTCGTATAATATTTCAGTGTGGACCCATTCACTCGAAAGGACTGGTATGATGTCAAAGCCCCAGCCATGTTCAGTGTTCGAAATGTAGGAAAAACTCTTGTAAATCGAACTCAAGGAACAAGTAAGTGTTAACATATTCTAACGAAGTAAATACTCTGAAATTTTACATATGTAATTTGAGGTGATTCACAAAGAATTAAACGTAAACAAATCTAGTGTGTTTTGCGGGTATGTTCAATCGTGCCAGAATGCCTTTTTTGCTATTGGAATTTGACAAATTGACAGCTTTCTTAATTATTATTACATGTTGTGTGTGGAAATTCTTTTTTTCCTTCTCTTTTAAAATCCTTTGCTTATGGTAAAATTTTGGTTTCGAATATCGCTAAATCATGTAAAAACTACTTTTAACAGTATATTGAGCTGCTCCGAATATTAAGATCATGCTGATATTAGCTTTTCTGTAGTAAACGTTAATGGTGATAATACTATTTACAAACTAGCACTAACCGTCGTACTCTCTCACACGTATGGCTACTCACAATTCATTTATTCATATTTTTATATATGTTGCAAATAAATAAGAGGTTACTCAAGTTGTCGAAAGGCTAAAATTACTGAGATAAATTATACGTTTGCATTGTGAAATTTGTTGTACTTTTAAGGGGAGTGATGTAACAGTTGCTAAATCTTTGGTTGATCACAAATGTATGTTTATTTATTGCATTGATAAATCAGTTATTTTTGCAAGATGGCTGAATTTATCATGTAAAGTTGGGTGTAAAACAAGCTTATATTATTTTGCTTTGTTATGTCTCTGTTTTTGAGCCTTTAACTAAAATTTTATTCTTTGTCTTGAAGACTGAATGAATTGAAATGAAAAGAAGTTTACATATTGTAGGCAAAGTGATTAAGCTGCTAAAGGCTGGAGTTTTAAATTTCGTCAATATAACTAGGTGTGTGGAAGGTTTTGTCCATTCTCTTATTAGTGGCATGAATATGAACCATAATCTGAATAAACCTAGTAATTCTTTATATGTTGTAAAATATGAATTACTTTCTTAAAACAGGCCTTTCTAGAAAACTTGGTGTAGGCAGTTTAAATGAAATTAAAACGTGAAAATTTTAAGCTTGCACTTTTAAAAGGCCACATTGTAGCTTTTATAAGCTGACCGTTTACTTCATCAGTTCTAATCCAAGCTGACAGCTTGATCATATTCACCTTCTGTTACTTTTTCATATGGGGTTGTTATATTTTTTAGAATTTGCATCCACACGTGTGGCAAAGTGAAGAAAGGTCCTTACTACAGTATAATCTTGTGGGGATTTTTACAGCTTTATTTAATTCGAAGTTGATTTTGTGCCAAGCTTTGAGTATTTAAAAGATTAATTTCTCAATAAAATGCATTTTAAATCATACAAGGAAATAACATTAGAATGGAAGTGTGTGTTATCTAATCTGCGCAGTACAAAGAAGGAAATATCGACATGCCTTATTTGAAAATTTCTGTTTCTTCAATATGTATGACACAGAATTCCTTAACAGCATCCAGAAACTATTTAAAATTATCTAAATTACAATCTGTATACTGTCGTTGTCTTATTAATTCACAACAGTAAAAATTAAAAACTTCATTCATACTGCCGATTTTTGTCAGTAGCATTTCTTTCAAAAATCCCCTTTTATTACACCCCTACATACCTTCCATAGTGTTGATATGCGCTCCAGGTTCATAATCCTTAAATCTCGCTGCGTAATTTACTGAGAGGTGAACAGAGCTATTTAAATCTTCATTTATACACCAGTCATTCAATGTTTTCTTTCCCAATCACTCCAAAGTGCTTCAGATTAATCCTATGACCAACAGTCATTTTACGGTGTAAAGCACAAAATAAGCAACGTACTTCCTAGCCATCATCTGTACCTAAATAAGCCCTTTCAAATATTTCCCCATCAATGCAAATTGCACACATTACAACCATTTATGTCATGACAGGGTTTCTATAGCATTCAACTACTCGGGTTACCATAAATGAAAAAACAGTTTGCCAATAATCCAAGGAGTACTCTAAAATACAGGCTAACCAAAGCCTGTCATGGGACTCAATGGGGTTAAAATCACTTCCCTGGTTAGAGCTGGACAACCCTTGCCTTGGAAATGCAGTCGTAGTCTGACTGGTAATTTGTATTATTTTTTCTAGTCTCTTAATGATTTTTTGCATACTTTTCCAGTATTCTCATGTGATGGTCTCATTCAAGTACTTACAGATCATTCTTTAACTTCAGTTGATTTTAAGAAATTTTTTAAATTGTTAAATCACTCTTCGCCTAATCTTTGGAATATGGTAACAGGTAGTTTGGCGACATTTTGGTAAGGCGACAAAGGTTACTAGCTAGGACTTGGATATAGCTAGCAGTGTACGTGGATATAGTCAAGGGTGTGTGCAATGCCATTTTTGTGCAATTCTGGGATTTTTTTTAAGTGAAAATAGGTCGACGTGTACATGGAAGATACCGTGTATGTGTAATTCGTAAAAACGCGGTAAGCAGTGGGTGATTCTGCACTTTGTCATAATTTCGCACCTAATCTTCGTCATGATTAAGCACTTTTATTCCATAAAAGTTCTAGCATAAGCGTAATTCGGCTAGCAGATTGTTGGAAAAACATGTTGGAAATGGTGAGTTAAAAAAAAAAAAAAAAAACATGCCTTTACTTCGTTAAAACAAAATGGCATCCAAACAAAAACTACCAGGTTGCTGTAGCAGGGTTAGTCGCCAAAAAATCGCCGAGTTACCATAGTCCAAAGATTAACCCACTCTTCACTTGCTATGTAGTCAAAGTTTACTTGTGTATTTTTTAATTTTTGCATCACTGCCATTGAGTTTTGGCACATTAAAATTGCATGACATAAATTACTGTCGTAAAAAAACTATAGACTTCAACTTGGAAGACCGTTTAAAGAACATATGTAGTATGTTATGTAATTTGGCTAATGTTATATTAGGTATATTTCGTTTTCCATGTTTTTATAAATTTTAGTCTAGTATCTAACATTATTTAAATTTGGACAATTAAACCTCAAATTAGTGTAGTTATTTAGTGGAATAAACTGCCTTTTGAGACAGCTGAACTCATCCTTCATGTCAACGATAACATTCTTGATATTTTTCCTTCATGCAGCCTCGGAGTTTTGCTCTAAAAATATTCAATTTTATTTAAAATTTTAGATATTAAATCTGTCATAATTTGATACTTTTCCGTTTTGCCGGCTCAGGTGATAAAGTTGCCATTAATGGTACAACTGATGCCAAATATAATTTCCTCGCTGGTAACCTTTTACACCTTATTTTCAAAACAAGTAGCAGTCATTTCTTAGATTGATTGTTTCTTTCAATACTGGCATACAATTACATAGAATTTTACCAGATAGTATAATTTTATGCCCTAACGCCATTCATGGTAATTAAGTCAATTAGGATGCAATCACACCGCTCAAAGGCGAAAAAATAGAAAAAGGCAAAGTCAAGGGTTAAATTCATCAATTCTAATGAGAATTCACTAGCAAAGTAAAGCACTGCGGTTTTACATAATTTCCGAGTAAGCTATTCGTACAAATTGAATTTAAACTTGTATTCCAAACTAAGATTTAACCTTAAATTAATGTAGAAAATTAGATTTTTGTAGCATAGTTTACGTGAGATGAGATCACTTGAGGTCACATGATACTAACCGCCGAATCAGGATGTTGAACCATGAAAGCACAGTAAATTCTTAAATGGCTTTTTACAAAATCTTAAACGTTATTATGCCTTCAAAATAAAATTCTTAGAATGGGTTTTCATCCACAGAGAACCCGTTGGCGCCGTTGCATTTTTACTCGCCAAGCTCGCGATTCTTTGCCGTAAACGTGATTTTTAGTGCATGTAAATTCAAGTTAGCAGACAAAACAATATATTAAGCATGTGGTAGTAAAAATTCACAGATGATAAGCATGTAGATGTAAAACTAACCAGTTAAAGGTGATATATTCATTTAAAAATATAAATTAGTATTAATGTACTGAAATTAACCGGTTAAACGCGATAAACGAAAAAAAATTGTCTTAACTTCCAGTTAACACATAAAACAATATATTCCTTACACCAGCAGTGGTTTGCTAATTTTGATGACCATGGTGATGCATCAAACTATTCTGTCATCTTAGATAATCAATAATATTTTTGATTTCAATTTAATCATCTATTTATGTCACACCTGCCATCCTCTGAAAGGTAGTGTTAGAAAAGCATTAACATTATCTTGTTAAAATTTTACGCCATCAAAATTGATTTATTCTCATAATTTTAGATGACAATAACTAATAATAAAAATAAAAGCATTATTTATTTATTTAAAATGCACATACACATTTTTGCGGCCTATAGAAACAAATTATTTTAGAGGCTGGAAACCTCATGGTTCTTAGAGCTGTTAATAATTAAGAACACAACGTGAACAGCCGTGTTACAAATTAGCATTCACCCCTCCTGCCGTATTTTCTTCCTTTTATCCCGAGGAGAACCAGCATCTGTCTACGAAAATATTTCTATCTATTCATTGTTAAAAAATTCAGAAAAAAATAATAATAAATAAGAGAAGAATAATATAAATCTGCAAATGCGAATAACAACAGTGATAATTCAACAAAATGAACGCAAGAGGAATGGTTGCAAACTTCGAACAAGCGAATAGGATACATCTGTTGGGTTACCAGGTTTGAACTATTATTGCCAAAGTTGGCGATGTTTACATTTACCGGGTTCTCTGCGGAAGTGCTTCCCTTAGAACTAATATTTTTATGTGCATACTGTATGTTGTCGCCGATAAAGTCTGCTTGGTGAGATTTGCACCGGCGAAACAGAAAAGTACTTTAAATTTTTTTTTTTAATTGAATCAATAACTGGGAACAGGGTATTTTAGTTTGAGAATATAATTTCTATCCATAAATACAGCATATATTGCTTACTTTTAATATATGTATTTCATATTTTTAAACATGAAGTGTGTTGCAGTTTAGCCTTTAATAATATGCAATTGCGGAACTACTCTGATATGCGCCCTCAAGTCGCCAAACATTTTTGGCGAGAAACTCCACACTGCCATTTTGCTATCTAAATTTTTTGTCTACATTTCGAACTTTAAAGCCTAAAATGTCTCCAAAAACACGGTTTTCGCGAAAGCAAAAATCACGTTTTGAACACACAATTTAAGCTAAAAATCCGAAACGAAAACAAATAATTTAGATAGCAAAACCATAAAGTTTCTAACCAAAGTTATTTGACAAGAGTCCATGTACACAGCGATATGTTTTAACTTAAAAAAACATCTACGAATTTGCACAATTTAGGCAACAAATGAATCTACGAACTATGCACACCTCACTTGAATAAATTAACATAACAATAAATTTCAAAGAATACCATGTATACAGCGTTCTGTTTCAACTTTAAAAAACATCTACGAATTGCACAATTTAGACGGTAGGCACTAATCAACAAAATAACTAAAATTTCAAACAATTAAAAAAAATAACAATAACGACAGAAATTCATACTAAAAAAACAATGAACATAACATTCTACGCCACAGATACTTAGATAATAAAATAAAATACACTTACCATGAAATGCTTTCTCGAACAGCAGAAATACCAATTTCATACCGCCTTTAACATTCCGCCACGTAATCACTATCGTATTTATATGACAGCCAGACACACTATCCAGAAAATTCATACTATGGTTCACAAATAAATAAAATAACAAATAATCACAAATGCCTGCTTCTATCATGCACAGCCACTTTAAAAGTAATCTCCCAGACCCTCTTTCCACACCTCCAAATACACACTGCCCCTAAACAGGATGGCCACGATGATGTTTCCTTTTGCCGAACTTAAATTCAACAACTTCCACCACTTTATCTCTTCCCCCTAGCTTCTCAGACACAAAGCATGACGCAAACCAACAAACTCCAGCGAAAGATTTTTCAACATCAACAGGGTTGCCATACAACACGCAAACGCGCCAAAAACCAGCGCAGAACACATATTGCCGCTTTTGGTGAAATTAGGGTGTATATCAGAGTTGTACCGCAATTGCAAATTTCAGTGTAATGTTTTTTCTTGTGTTTGTGTCTGTATTTTGGGAAAGTGCAGAATTACCCACTGCTTGACACTTTTTTTAAGAATTGCACAAACTCGGTATCCGTGTACACATCGGCCTGTTTTTACTTAAAAAATATCAGAGAATTGTGCAATCCCTCTACTTTGTCCATGTACACATCGATGCATTTTCACTTAACATAGTCAAAGGAAATTGACAAAAATCCAATTTTTCTTACTCTTGTAAAACGCGCCAAATAAGTAGGCGATTCTGAAGTTCATCCCTGTATTTTAATACCAAATTGTGTTAAAATCAATTACTGTCAAAGTTATTTATTCTTTTGTGTCTTGAATTTGTTTTGTCAGTAAGCATTGCTAGTTTCATTGTTATTCAAGTTATTTTGCATATTTGAAAAATGTAATTCTGTTGAGTATTTTAAAATATATTTTCAGTTTATATTTGATTATTGCAGCAATTTTATTATAGACTTTATTCTGGAGCTTAGAGAAAGCGTACAAAGCTATGTGTGAATATTTACTCAAATGCTTTTGTTATTGCAGAAATTGCATCTGAAGGTTTAAAAGGAAGAGTATTTGAAATTTCTCTTGCCGACCTTCAAAATGATGAGATTGCTTTTCGTAAATTCAGACTCATTGCCGAGGAAGTGCAAGGTAGAAATGTGCTGACAAATTTTCATGGCATGGATTTAACAACTGATAAATTGAGGTCCATGGTTAAGAAGTGGCAAACATTAATTGAAGCAAATGTCGATGTGAAGACCACGGACGGCTACCTGTTACGAATGTTCTGTATCGGATTCACAAAAAAATGGGCCACACAAGTTAAAAAGACCTGCTATGCCCAGCATGCACAGGTAAATTTTCATGTGTAAAATCTTTCAAATCAAGTTATTTTGTGTGCCACATAAACTTTAGCTGCCCATATATTTATCAGGAGATTCTCAATGTTTCATTTGTCTCCTAATTTTCAGTCCCTTTGTAAGATCTTGTCTATCTTCTAAAGTGATAACTGAAGTATTTGTGGAAATCACACAAGAGAAGGATTAAAAGTACCCTTTATTAAACTCTTTAAAATTCACAATGTGTCGACTTCATGCTAACACACTATGCCTCGCTTAAGTAGTACCTCAAAGAGAACTAAATTAAAATTCGACTCACTCGGGTGGTAACTCAAATAACAAGAACTAAACTAAAATTCAAAGATAAGTAGTAGAAATTACTCTACAGGGCTCAGGTACTCCTGTTACTTAAAACTGTATCGAAATCTAGTGGCAGTAAAGTAATAACTGTTATGTCGTGTTAACTAGCAGTAAATGCAGAGGTAACCGTGCTTGCCCAAAGTCTAACTTTTCCTTCTAGAACTTGGTATTTAAACCTTTTCTCCTCAAGGTAGAACTTGCATTACTTCACGCACGCTATCAAATTTAAGTATTCTGGCATTGACGATTTTGTGCAGCCTTATTTCAGGATGTCATCACTCTTGTTCTCAAGAGATCTAATTCCCTGTTTAATCCAAAATGGTCTTTTTCTCGCTTTGGTTATTTATATATCAATTTTTTGATTTAATGATTTAGAAGTAATTGTAATTTTATTACAAAGTTACTCCGTAAACTAAACATGTTCATCCTAATTTTTTTAAATATATATTATTTGTTTCAAAGTTTAGCTCACTAAAATTTTTCATCACTAAAAGTTGAAGGATATGGGAATGTTTTTAATATAGTCTTAAAACAAAAATAGCAAAAGCATCAGTATTATAGCCTAATGAAATTCAAATTACTACTAAGCTTAAGTTATTGAGATTCTGTTTCTCCTCTATTGTTTCCGGAATAATTTTCATTTAATCTTAGTTGTTTGAATTCAATAAAGAAAATTTTAAAGCATTTTATAAGGACTAAAACATGTACTATTTAAATCTTTCATGGTTGGTGTATTACTAAATTCATCTTCAAAATTATTTGATTTTTCATTTGTTTAAAAAATCTGATTTCTACCTTACTTGAATTCAAATTACTACAAAAGAAAAATTAGAATTTAGAATGATAAATATGTGTAGGTAATGTTTTTGTATGTCAAATCTAAGCCCAAAATTGTCTATAAGGAAAGTTTTTAAAATTGTGTCACTGCCTTTCATGAAAATGTTCTGAATTTTTCATATTCGAAGGTCTTTTTTTTTTTTTTTTTTCGTAGTTTCTGCATGAAGAATAGATATGAATAAAATGTCTATTGTTATATATAGTCAAAAGTCGTTAATTCGGGCACCCATAATCCGGACCTCAAAGCTAAAAACTTTCTGCGCATGCGCCGCGTTGACACATACGCATAGGCGTTTACGTCTGTGCGCGCAAGACCTTTACGCCTGCGCAAGTGCAGAATACGTTTTCGCTTGCGCGTTTAATGTGTAACGGACGGTATAAGCTAAATTACTAATTATCTATTTCAGTTAATGTTGATGATTGCGTTGCTTGCTCCTTAAATCTTCGAACTGGATCCGCTTATTACTTTTTCAGACTGGTAAGAGCAATTTATAAAAGTAAACTTGAACTTTCGATTATGTCAAAAAGAATTTCCGATGCTGGATCTCCCAAAGGATCTACAAAACGAAAGTATGTTTCGATGTCCATCAAACAAAAAGAGGAATTGCTGCAAAAAATGGATAAAGATATGAAGAAGGTGACAGGAAGGTTAGTGAAAACGAAAAAATTTCGATTGACAAGTTAGTCGGTATTCTCGGCACTGCAATTACGGGAATTTAACAGCGGAACTTTGTAACTGAACAAGAAATTATGTCAGTTTATAGAATTAAGAGAAAGTATCACATAAAACGAAACAACTTACATTGAAAGAAATGTTTAATAAAGTAAACAAATAAATATTAAGCTTTTTTTTTTTTTTTTTTTTTTTTTTTTTTGTAAATTTTGATACCCTTTAGATAATAATTCTTCTTTATTTCATAAATTACGGTTTCATATTTTTAATTTTAGAATTTCTGCATGCCATTTTACGAGATTTAAACTAATGATCTATAATCCGGAATCACCGAAGTCCCGACGAGTCCGGATTAACGACTTTTGACTGTATATGCATAAATGTTCCTTTAATATCTGTAGGCTGTCGAGTATAAAGTCATATATGTAAATTTTATTTAAAATATGACCAGAGCAGGTTATACATTGAAATTAATTATCCTAGAAGGCATTGATATTTCTCTGGCATGATTTTTACAATGTGATGATTAGCATTTTGGTCTATCATATGAAATCTGTTTGGCTATATGCTAGAATCGAGGTAAATTTTTCACATTCCCATACCTAAACTCTATGATATAAATTTTAAGCCTGTCCAAAATGTTTCCAAAAATTATTATCTAAGAAAAACAGCATCAGAAACAAAACTCGGATGCTTTTCGGTCTGTGCTATTTTTAATACGAGTCTTGTATTCTGTTTAATAACAATTTACAAAAAGTATAAATTAGGAAACTTGTTCAAATTATATTGTCTTTTTTCTTGTCCAAATTTGCAAGCATTGTGTTAGGCATTGTAAATGGTAAAGTGTTTTGATAAATAAGTGCAACAGATAAATTTTGCTCTTTCATTTGCATATTTGTAGACTCATGAATTTTAAATCTTAAAAAAATCCTCCCCCCCCCCTTTGTTTTTTTTTTTTTTTTTTAAATCTTTATGAAAACTTGGTTTTACAGTTCAAAGTACATTTTATGAATTTTCATCTGAAATTAAATGAAAATAATTTAAGTATTTTTTATGTGTACATTAATCAGTCCCGAGTTATGTTCAGAATTTTTATCTAGATTTGGTTGCTTTGAGTTAGAGGGCTTGAGGTTGCCTAGTGATATTTTTAACGAATATACGTATGTCTTAAATACGTATGTTGTGATATTAAAATATTGTCGTAAAAATTGTGATGCCTTAAAACAAATTCATGAAAATATATCTTTTCCTTATTTTAAAGTACCTTTCATGATTGATGATGTAGCACTGTTTTGTTATCAGGAATGTCGTCGTTTCCAATATTTAATTTTTTATAAAAAGTAAAAAAATACCTTTTCAGAATAGGCAACAAGAATACAATTTCTAAAAATGTTACAGTCACTTGCTTTTTATTATTATTGTCTTCACCATAGATATGAAAATTAGAGACTTCCCTAATGGTGAAACATCTTTCATACAATTTCATCAGGAACTAGGAATTATTCGCTCTGAAAAAAGTGCATGAGAGACCATAAAATGAAGCTGACTTCTGTTCGTAGCAAGCACTGAAATGGAGATATGAAGACATGATGTACCGAGGGGGAATAATGTTTCCAAAATTGGTTTGAAGCATTGGACCGTTTCTTAAGAGCAGCTCATTTCATATATGCATTGTGTTTAGAATTAATTCCATTGAATTTTGTCAATATCAACTTAATATGAATCATTTGATTGGAACAGTTCTATAAGGGATGTCGGTGAATATGCATTAATGTCTAGACCGTCAGCTAAATAAAACATGGCACTGGTAAACTTATCAGTGCCTCATCCATTTTTCGGATGTGGCACTGAAAAAAACAGTCTTATCCTTCTGTCCCAGTGGGTGTGCGGCAGAATTGACCAAGAAACAAGTGTTTTTTAGTTACTCTGATATATCTTCGCTTAAAGTTATTGAGGAAAATATTATTTTGTATAGGGTACAAACACTGGAAAATAAAGAGGCCAGATTTGAACATTTCTTTGTTAATCCTGATATTAATTGTCATGCACAAATTATTATGGTTATGGGGCAGTATGAAATGGTGAGATAAACTTCAACAGGGTACTGACCATACATAGCCAATTAGATACTTATTTAATTATGTGGTGGCCAATGGATCCCAAAATTCAGGTACAGTACAAAGTCCAGACTTAGGCGATTCTGGATTAGGGGTTTTTCCAGATTATAGATCATCGATTTAAATCTGATAAGATGGTATGGATAAATTATACAATTAAAAATATGATACCGTAATTTATGAAATAAAGAACAATTATGATCTAAAGGGTATCAGATTATACAAAAAAAGCTTAATATTTATTTGTTTACTTTATTAAACATTTCTTTCAACACGCACATGCGTAATGTGGCTTTGAGGTCCGGATTATAGATCATTTCCTATTACGGACTTTGTACTGTATTTTAAACGATGTCTTAAATTTCATGCCTTTGTTGTAAATATATTGAGTGGTGTGATTTTTCCAAGTTTTTTAATTCACATTAAAAATTTTTAATTTTATGAATATCTTATGTTATTTTTCTCTTGGTTTTTTCTTCATATTAACCATATTGAAAATGTTTTACCAGATAGTCAGCTTTTGCTGATATCTGAATCCAGTACATAACAGTACCGAAAAGTTTTTAATATCTTCATCACGAAAAGAACAATGAATATCTGCCCCACCTTCAGCTTGTTAATAGGAAACTTTCACTTCTGCTTTGCAATATCCAAAAACCTTTAAAATTTGTGGCTATCATCATAAAATTTAGCCATTGTTAGCTATACATATTTGGCTATGTATCATGAGATTAGTGACTAAAGAAAACCAGTTATGTTAAATTTTATCTTGCTTCTATTGCGCTGTGAATATCTTACATCTATTTCTTGCACATGCTTAAGGCTTATCTGAGTCCCGAATAAATAAGTTCCCGCGTATACTTATTTAAGGCTGGTGCTAGATATCTTACCGCCTGGTGCAGTCTCTGTGTGCCCCAAATTCTGCTACCAAGTGCTCCCTTTGTCTTCCCTAAATTCTGCTGCTCGATGCAGCCATACGAGCTCTGGTTCTGGGTTTATGTGAATAAACAAATCAGTTATTCTTAATTCGAACAGCACTGAATGTAATCTTTTGGCCTATGAGTATCATTAACAAAATCTGTTTTTAGCATATGAAAAGAAATTTTTGTTAAATTTTTCCTTGCAACTTTTTTGCCTTTAACTTAAACATGTAATCGTCGCCAAGCGTAATGTCAACACTAAAGGTTGCCATACTCTTTATTATTCAATCACTAACAAAAAAATTGTTTAGGCATCGCTATATGAGTTATTACTCAAGTTGTCATGTGTTGATTAAACATGCGGTGATGAAAGCAAAATATAATAAGTAATGATCATCAGGTTTGGCATCAGGGATATAAACTATTAGTAGGTGCAAAATCAACGATGTATCTATGTAGAATATTTCAGTTTGAGATGTATACCAAGCAGATACGAATTGGAGCCAAATTCTTGATAAAAAAAAATGTATGCTAAAATGATTTTCTTCAATAACAAGGTATTTATTTTATTTAGTGCTGAAGTGAAAATACGAATCGGGACTCTCCACGTATTTTATTATGCACGGGGCATGGAATCAAATGCGCATGCATAAAGCATACAAAAATCTTTTTTTTTTTTTTTTTTTTTTTTTTTGTTGTTGTTGTTGATTATTTTAACAGTCTTAATCCTTGAACATGCTGGTCAAAATGTGATGCACCTGCCATTTCTCTTTTGCATGAAATGTGTTTCATTTGACTTGTAATTTTTTTTCTCTCTTTCAAATCTGGACTAATATGCAATCTTAAAATTATATGTGTGATATACTGTATAATAAATATGCAGTGATGTTGTTTCAAATAAATAGAAAGAATGGACGTCCACGAGTTTCTGTCCAAGATTTTCAATTGCTTAAGTTGATGAATTGGTAGCTCCAGATATGAACATTTGCATAAATGCAAAATAGCAAGATAAATATAAAAGTGGCACTGTCCATCTTTATTCTTACTTCATCGAATGCTTGTGTCAGCATGAGAAAACTGACTTACTTTTGCCAGTGTTAAATTAAATCTACTGTACTATGCATTCTCTGTAATCTGATAAAGTCTTATTTTGTGTGTGTATATTTATTCTAGTTTTAATAAAATATTAATTTTTTCATTAAACTTTGCTCATCTCTAGGATTACAGCCATCTATTTAGATTTCAATGTTTGGTCCTGAGTAGTACCTTAATAGCACTAGTACAGCAATTTTAGACAGAGAAATTTAGGTTTTTTTATTATTATTATTATTATTATTTATTAAAAATTTGAGTTTTCCTCCTTCCCCAAGCCTTAAGAGGACCATTAGACCAGAAGAGCTATTAGTCTCAAATTGGTATTTTGCTTTGATTCACTATTAACGGCATATCATTTTTAAATTGTTACCACCAAATATTATTACCCTGTATTATATGTTTAAAGAAATTAAATGATGAATGTGTATGTTTCTCGTGTGTATGTTAAAAAAGAATAAATAAAGGCGATACCTAGAGGCAGCAAATTTTGAATAATGTAATGTTCCACCTGAACATGGGCACCTGGAAGCCTGCATTTCAAATTTGTTTTATTGTCTGTGTCATATTTTGTAAAACTTTAAATAATTTTTGGTTAACAAACTCAACAATTTCAAAGTGAGCAGTAGCAGCACTGCACAGGCAGGGGGAACATTTTTATCTATAGCATGTGTGACTGTCTATCAAAAAAATATAAAGATAAGCTGTTTTTAAATATTTTTAGCATAAAGGGACATTAGCCTGTTTTCAAACCGTGTATGTGTATAAATGGGTAAAAAGTGCCTTTGGGCATAATCTGAAATCTTTCAGGTTTGTTATTTATTTTTTCCAGTACCATAAATTAATTTGTAGATAGCTTCATGTTCTTTTGCAGAACTAAAAATATCATCTTAATTATGTGAAATAATTTTCATCTCTTAGGTGAAATTAATTCGTAAAAAGATGACCGAAACAATGGTGAGAGAAGTCTCTTCATCTGATCTTAAAGAGGTTGTTAATAAATTGTAAGTGTATTGTATTTTTGATTTTTTTAATAAATTTCAGACAGTTTTTTATGAAATTTCGAAAATAAAATGTATTTCTGAGTCCCGAAATTTTTCATATATACTATTCAATATATTTACTGATAGCAAATTCTGTTTATTGTGTTTTACTGTGCAGCATTATGACATGTGGCAGTTGTTCCTCATAACATAACAAGGTATTTATATAGTAAGGGAAAAAATTTATTAACAAACATATAGTATATTTTTAATCAAATTAATTTAATTTTATAATTTAATTTATTAATGTATTTTTAATCTGGAATGCAGGTAGATTTAACGTATGTTTTAAAAAATTGAACAATCAGAGGGTTAAGGAAAACTTATTTTCTTCTGATATTAATACTAAAATAAATGTGCAATATGTAATTTGCATTTTTTCATCATACATATTTATAAAATTCTAATGTTAATTATGTATTTTTGAGGCTATTGGTTAATTCTGAGAGATTGTTATAAAATTTCTTCCTTTAGAATTCCTGATAGCATCGGTAGGGATATTGAAAAAGCTTGTCAAGGCATTTATCCTTTACATGATGTCATGATTAGGAAAGTAAAAGTTTTGAAGAAACCAAAATTTGATGGTAAGTTTTCTCATTGCATAGATTTTCAAGCCGATGTGGCCTAGTTAATAATAAGATGATGTAGCTTTGTTAACTAAAAATATTATTTGTGAATTATTTGAAATGTCTATTCTTTCCATGTTTCATGTATGGCCAGTTTTGTTACTGAGGCTTCCTATTCTGGATTTTTTTTATTATTATTAGCTTATTATATACTTCATGCACATAATTGTGGAAATTCTCATTTTTTCTGTTCTGTCATCCATTATTACTTCCAAAAGCATCTCTGAGCATAATCATACAAGCTCTTGAAGTTCTGCTGTCAAACTACAAAATAAAAGTTATTGTCAATATAAAAAATAAAATGAAAAGCAACATTCTTAAAAAAATGTAAGAATTGGAACATCAGTATGTTCAGCACAACTATTCGATTGGTCTCTCAGGTCAAATATCTTAGTATTTTTTCATGTACTGGAGCATGAAACATGTGATATTTCAGCTTCACAGCTTGTTCACATGTGGCGTATTCCAAAAGGGGATAAGTTTAAAAGTCGCAGACTTATTTAAAAATTAAACTATTGCCGGAGATTTTTATTACAACACATTTGCTTTTCTTTTTTAAATTCTTTATTGAAACTGATTCAGAAATTTATAATTTTTTGTATGTTGGATTTTTACTTTTTTTTTAAAGTAAATATAGTTGTCTTAAAGTAATATTTATAGTATCTAATTATTTCAGATACGTCTTTTTTTTTTTTTTTTTTTAAGAAATTTCTGTATTATGTGATCGTAGAAGTTGCTTTATTGAAGAGTATAATGGAGCTATATTTAAATTGTTTGTCATACCTGTAATAAGGCTACCTAATAAATGTTTTTAATGAAAGTTTTCTGCCAAAAAACACTCTTAAAAAAAGTTAGGGGAAATAATTTTAAAGAAGCACCTTTATTGCAGATAGTAACCACCACCCAAATCTGATTTTTCTGCCGACGTTTTGGTAGTTTTTCTAAGCCCAGAAACTTGCTGGCCACGAGTCCAATAACAGATCAACCTTATTTCAAACGTCCTGTGCAGAATGGAAAATAGCACCAGCAATGACATTCTGTAGCTGACGTTTTACAACAGAACTGGAAGCTATTGAAAAAAATTCATTTACAACACTAATGACAAAAATGATATACAAAGCACAATAGAACAAAAACTTTCCAGATTTATCTGCAAGAAAAAATTTCTGAACAAATTTTGCTAGTAAAATTGTGTGATCTGCCTACATTATACTAATTATTTATGGACATCTTTTACTTTAGTGATATGGACTTCACACTAGGATTTTATTGTTTTTTAACTTTCAGTACCAAACTTTCACTGTGTCACATGATACATTAGTACCTAAAGTTGTACGCAGGATTTGGTGATATTCTATAGCTGACTTGCAACAGAACTGGAAGTAAATGATGTTTCTAATCTAGTAATGTGATAGTTCCTTTTCAGACACTTTGTACTTAATGTTAACGATATTTTTTACAAATTTCACAATACAGTGTTCTAAAGCAAGTATTTTTTTCTCAAATGCCAAAAATCGTTTGGCAAAATATGATTAAAATGCCAATGCGAATTGTACTTAATGTTAACGATATTTTTTACAAATTTCACAATACAGTGTTCTAAAGCAAGTATTTTTCTCTCAAATGCTAAGAATCGTTTGGCAAAATATGATTAAAATGCCAATTCGAATTGTTTGCGCGGATGATATTTGCAGTGGTGGAAAACTTTTGTTAAAACCGATAATTCTCTCCTTTTTATTTCAAGATTTAGCATTAAAAGAATTTGATAAAATAAACAGTATTTATGCATAAATCTTGAAATAAGAAAGATATGAGCTTTTTACAAAATTGTTTATTTGTACGTGTATACATACACCTTAAATGTGAGTGAAGAACTTTGCATTAAATGAAAAATTTAACGTTTCTGTCCGGCTTTCTAAAATCAAATTTTTAAAACCTTGATTTCTTCTAAAATCAAGATTTTAAAAAAAATGTTCTGACAGAGGTATGTCATAAGTTTATTTGCTCGTATTTTGTATATAATTCTATAAAATGTAGATTATTTTTATATATAAAGAATATTCTTAAAACATGTCATGAGATATAATAAAAATCTTGCGTTAATTGTAAATTCTTTCATGGATTGGGCTCACTGTATAACCATTTTTTATGTGATGCTTATAACATAAATAACCATTTCAATCTTCATTGTTGTATAGTGATGGGATATAATCTGCAACATATGTCTCATTTTTTAGTATTTTCTTTGAGGTACTTTAAAAAAAATTTCAAACTTTACTCTAAAAATATAGTTTTTAAATTTATTAAAGCTTTCCTGATCTAAGTGGCATAAAAGTTTTTATATGTGCTGCAGTTTTTTTTTCCCCCTACTGTGGCCTTTTGTAGTTAGCTATTAATATAGATATAGTTGAATTTTTTAAATCTAGGTTTTTCCGTTGCTAAATTCTAAATAGAAAACTACTGCTAGAGCCTTTGATTAACAAAGTTATATGCATACACTGTTTATACATCTTTTAAAAGACCATTCAAAAATGGCATATAAATGAGAAAGACTTATAGACTGTCCAGAAATTTCTGCCCTTTTTTTCCTATCATAAATAACCATTTCTAAGTTGTCACAGAAATATCCAGTTTCTCTGCTTACTCATCCTTCATCAAACCAGTATTCTCATAAAAATCTATAAGATTTGAATTTTATCTTTAAGTGAGTTTCCTTTCACTTTTGTAATATTTTGTATCAGTCAATTCTGCTGCACGTAGTTAACATAATACAGTGTCTTGTTCTGTAGAAAACTAATTTTCTTTCTAAGTATCCTCTCTATACATGAACTGGATTTCAACTGCAGTACCAGACTGTGATGGCTCGTGCCGTTGTTTCCTTCTCCTATCCCCATTTCTGGGGAAAATACTTGAACAGTGGAACTCCAAAATATAAAACCATTGCAGAGAGTCAAGTAAAAGAGATGCAAAAATATTTTACTCATTTCTTTTGTTTGGTACATTAATTAGCCTAAATATGCTTGTTTTTATTCATGATTGGGCAGAATATTATTAAGACACAATAACACAATAATAAGAATATTATTATATAATCAATATATAACAAGTGTGTTCCAAAGATACTGTAAGTGCTGGTTTCAAATAAAATTTGCAGGTTTTTTAAAAGTACTTCAGAGCATTAAAATGATAGGGAAAATAATACAGACATTTCTATTGCAAGAATACAGCTTTCAAGACAAACTGTGTATGTTTAAAATTCGCAAAAATACGACAGTCTTGCAAGAAATTGCTCCCTGGCATAAGAATGAAAAGAGATCATATTGTATATAAAACTATTCAGAAAAATTATATACCGGATGAAGTCAGAGATTCTTACTCCACAAGAGAATAGCATATTTTTTATCTTTAATCCCTTTTTCCCACTTCAAAATTTTTGGATCCATCTGCAAGATTGCAGAAGAAAACTACTCTTTGAGCTGGAAATAAATATGTATGTTAAATCAATAAATGTATAAAGTTATACATAAAATTTGTAAATTTAGGGAAAGCAAAGTATGATGAATAAGTATTTTTTTATTTTATTTTAGTCGGTAAACTTATGGAGCTGCATGGTGAAGGAAGTGGAAAATCAACAACAACCACTGCAAAAGTCGGAGATGAAGGCTTAAAAATTGACAGACCGGAAGGCTATGAACCTCCTGTCCTAGAATCTGTGTAGCTTTATTGAAAAAAATAATAAAAAAAACTGGTAAAACCTTTCTGGAGCTTGTATTTTTGTGGTTACGGACAACCTTCATCTATCTCGAAACATCCATTCACTCTGAATCAAATTCGTTAACTATTGTATAGCAAGAATAATTTTGTTAACATTTTACTATGAATGCATAATAAACTTCCTTAATGTTAAATAGAGGAAACTTTTTTATAGAAATAATTACTTATACATCCTTTTTATATTTGTATTGAATGAATTATTGGAGTAAAAGTTCTGATGCATTATCTTAAGACAAAATGCTAGTGATATTCAAATTAATCCTAGAAACATAATGTTTAATTATTCAAAATTCGTATTTCATTGCTGAGATAATTGAGTTTTAAGAGATTCGGTTCAAATAAGTTTTCTAAATAAATAAGATCACAGGATTGTTTTATTTTATATTCTAATTAATTTTGCACCTAAGTAATGTTGTCATTAAATGAATTTTTGCATTACAAATTCTGGAGCACATGTTTGTGAAACACTCATTTAAAGAATTTTATAAAAAATAATAAAGCCTTCATAGTTTTGTGTCTGGACTGAAATGTAGGGATAAATTCAATTGTCCTAATAGGTGGTTACAAAGAAAGCTAGGAATAGCACTCTAGAACATGGAATAAAAGGAGGTGCCATCCCCACACTATGCCTGATGCAGTGCTGCCAAGCTTTGGTCTCCAAAGTGTGTTTTGTTTGCATCCAGAGCATGTTGACAGCAGTTTGCTAATTCTTCCACTCCCCATCAAAATGTGTCATGAGATGTAATACAAATCTTGAGTTAATTGTGTAAATTCTTTCATGGCTTGGTCTGACTATATAACCATTTTTTATCTGGTGCTTATAACATAAATAACCATTTCAATCTTCATTGTTGTATAGTGATGGCATATAATCTGCAACATATGTCACATTTTTTAGTATTTTCTTCTTTGAGGTATTTTTCTATGTGTTGCAGTTTTTTTCCCCCTCCCTACTGTAGCCTTTTAGTTTTCAATAACCCCTCTGACATATTCTATATTATCGGTAGTGGTGTTTTCTGAACAGATTTTGCCATCAGTTAATTTATTGATGATTGGAGCAATGTCATCGTAATGAGAAACTTCTGTTATATCATCTTCATAAATTGGAGAATTTTACCTGTGATTAGCGGTATCGGAAAGTCTTCATCATCCTCACCATGAAGGATAGTAGCTGGCCATAAATTATGCCAAGCATTTTGTAAAGTATCTGGATGTACATCCTCCTACGATCTTGCAATGCTCCACACAGTAGATTTTATGCGAAAATATTTTTTTTTAATTCTTGAATAGTCTTGCCATTTAAGAAATTTAACGTGCATTTTAAAAATGCTACTTTATATTTGCATTTCATCATACATACTTTCCTTTTTCTATTATCTCGCATATAACTGACATTACAATGCGATACTTATTGCAGTTTTGAGACGGATATACCTATATCCATTTTTGCAGAAATTTCACTTTTTGTTTAATGGACAGCAAAATTTGCTTTCGTCATGTAGATCCTGTTTCAGCTTCAGAATTAGAAAGTCTTTTCGACATAATCGAAAGTTCAGACTTTAGTTGTGATAAAAGTCCTGTAATTATAACAGCCTGCAAAAAATCAAAAGCTGGTAACATCTATTTATTGCTCATGCTTAAGGCTTATCTGAGTCCTGAATAAACAAACTCCCACATATACTTAAGCTTGCTGAGGGCAGGTACTGGATATTTTGCTGCCTGATGCAGTCTTTGCAGGTCCTAAATTCTACTACCAAGCGCCTCCCTTAAGTTCTAAATTTTTGTCGCTCCTTAATTTTAGGTCCCAGTGCTTTCCCTAAATTCTAAAAATTTTATCATCCCTTAATTTTGTTACTCAGTGCTTCTCTTAATTCTAAAAATTCTACCACCCGCTACATCCATTTGAGCTCTGATGCCGATTCTGTGTTTATGTGAATAAAACATCGTTTATTCTTAATTCAAAAAGCACTAAATGTAATCTTTTGACCTATGAGTATCATTAACAAAATATATGTTTAGCGTATGGAAAGAAATTTTTCCTTGTTATGGCATTTAACTTAAATTTGTAATCATTGCCAAGTGTAATGTGAATATAAAAGGTTATCATACTCTGTTATACTATTAAAAAATTGTTTAGGCATCGTTGCATGAGTCATTACTCAAATTGTCATGTGTTGATAAACATACAGTGATAGAAGCAAAATAATAAATAATGATTTGCCACGTTGGCATCTGAGATGTAAAATTGTAAAATCAACAATGTTTCAGTTTGAGATGTATACCAAGCAGATATGCAGCCAAATTATTGATCATACGATTTAATGCTAAAATGATTGCTTTTTCAATAACGAGGTATTTTATTTAGTACCAAAATGAACATGATTCTCCACATGTTTTCTTATGGGGAAAAAATTCGCATGCGCCAAGCATAAAATAAATTATTTTTTTGGTGGCTTTAAGGTCTGCATTTTAGATCATCCTATTTCTGAGTACGGACATTCTACACCGGGATCTTATAGTCTGGCGAATGCGCAAACCACTCATGCTCAACAAAACATTCTTTAATAAGGCTGTAAACTGCTGCACTGTAGACATTTTCCCGTACGAAATCTTGGACAATTATAAATTGTTCCGACCTTTCGCCGCTCACTTACTGGTAACCGAGAACTTCGTCACATAAAATGAGAAATCACAATAAAATGAGATTGGCTGTGAATTCTATTCAATGCATCTGCATATTTATATATAGTATGTCTTATTGTCACTTCCTTTTTAGTATTTTCAATGTATATGTAATTTTGAATTTGATTGCAAAGACCGATTGCATTACTTCATGACCGACGACCGTCTTCGCACCACTGCAAGTCACCGTCCTTTGGACACAATGCCTTTCAAGAAATATCCAATCCCATGCACCATTTCAAGGCATTACCTCAACCGAGCTAGGAATGTCGTGTGATAAACCAGCGATAATTCATTATTGGTATTAGACGTCCTTATCTCGGACTTTGCGCTTATGAAGAGTGCAATGGTGGGTTTAATGTGATAATTTGGGAAAATCTGTTTGCTGAACTCTTGTCGACAGTTTTTGTTTTGTATAAGGACATAAAATTACTTTTTAATGAGTGAATATACAGTTTTTCACATAAAATACTTTTTTTTTACAAAATGAATTCTTTACTATTTGAAAAAGAAAGTTTTATTTTTCTTTGTTATAATGGCATTGTAAATGGTTTTGCATTCACAAAGTCTTGATTAAATAATTCTTGATTTTTTTTTTTTTTTTTTTTATTGATATGCAGATAATCCAAATTTAAAGTTAAGATTAGAAAAGGGGAAATGTAAACAAAATTCAGGAAAGTATAACCTTTACAATCATTGGTCTCAAAAGGTGCATAATATGGTCTATTAAATTTCAGATTTATATACTAAAAACTGAAAGCTGTTTTTCTAGAGAAAAAATAATAGTTGAGTGTATTCATTAGATAACAAGCTGTTAATGCAAGATAAAAGTTTTTACAATCTCAGCATCTTCATTCTTGTAAAATATCAATCCCTGCATCTTGTTTTTCAAAAACCATGCACAGATAATACGAAATGTTATACACAGTGTTAGACTTGCTTGTTATATGTAAATATCCTAAAGTTAACCGTCTTATATAGTGCTGTTATAAATATATTAAATAATAATAGTTGTATTGTGTGATACTAATGAGTAATTTTATCTGTTAAATTTAACTATATTGCTTGGCCTCATTTGGCATATTTTGAAACCAATGATTTTCTTTAATTTTGGGGATCTTGAATTTATGATTGCAAGGCTACCTGTAGAAGCTACAGAAAATTTTTTGTTTTGTGCAATAGTAGTAATGATGTTATTATATTACTTTGAAGTGCCTTGCAATTTGCTGCAAATATGTTCAGCAGAAACTATTTCTAAATATGGCCTTCAAGTTGTCAAGTTTTGTATGGAAAACTTGTGGATGTTTCCAAATACAGGTTTGTATATGTTTTGTCAGTTTTAAATTTCATTTTATTCTATGTGAAATAAATAAAAAATATTATAAATCTGTTCAAAACCTATCAAAAGAATATTGTTGGTTTTGCTTAGTATTATGTTGTCATTCAATACATTTTAGAGTTTAAAACTTAATACTGGAATGGCAGGAAAATTTTACCTACTGGAATGGCATTAAGGGGTCATTTTGACCCTTCGATGAAAATACTGAAATAACAACAGTAAAACAATTATTAAATGCCATACATTGGCACAAATATGTACTTTATATGTATTTCATAATTTATATTTTATATCGCATGATAATTTATTGACTTTTTAAAGTACTGTAAATGTATCAAGTACATTTCGATTAACTGGATCATACTACAATTACTCAAATAATAATTGTTTTGATATAAGAATTGATTTCAAATAAATGGTTTCACAAATTAACACTAATGTTGACTAAAATAAAACACAATTTATATAATAATATTTTTTTATGTACTTATTCGGAGGATGATTCCCTTTCTAAATCCAGAAATGAGAAATGTTCTATGCTGTATCAGTTATATCATTATATGTATAGCTGAAGGGAATATGTAAAGCATTTCATTTCAATTCCATTTTTTCTGTTTCAATTCTATTCATGTTTAAAATATTAGAGATTACACATACGTATTAAGAATTAATACAGTTGATAGAAAAATAATTTTTAACAATTTTTCTAGAACATTTTCCATACGCAACTTTGGAATAACATGCACAATATTCTTGAGATTTGTTTCCATTGCATCTCTGTACTTGACACTTTTTCTCTTTATATTCGTTTTTGCCCGTTTATTTCTGCTGACTTCTTTTTCGTTTACATCGCTGTCCTCAGATTGACTAATAGTTTGTGTCTGGAATTCATCTTCAGTTTCTACAGAAAAACTATCAATTTCACCTCCCTCAGACTCATTTTCAGATTTCCCCTGGAACAATTTTTTAATTTCTTCATCCGTAAGACCTCTTTTCCGCTTATTAGACATATCTTGTAAAAGTAGGAAAATATCAGTTTATCAGAAAACGATAGGGAATATATTTTAGCATATGATTCTCACAGCCTAAAGGAAAGGTGACAATGAACATTACATTATGGCAGAATTTCTATGTACTGAAATACTGATTTGGAATTACCAAGAAAACATCTGTCCTAACTCTTATCGCCTGCAATAAATAAGCTGAACTAACAAACAGGAAAATACATCTGTAAAATAAACTATTTCTGAAAAGAAATGTAAGCATGAAAAATCCTGCATCTACCTTCCTTGCAGTATTTTCTTCAAACAAATAGATAATTACAAACAAGGAAACAACTTATGTAGACATTACAAACTAAGTGAGACCATACAGGTTTTTACCCCTCTGGGAGAAAGTATGAATGCAATCAAAAAAATACGTAATCAATGAATGTTTTTCATGGGTTATTTGACAATGCCTCGAACAGAAAGAGGGATAAAAGTCATGGAAGGGGCCAGTCGGCACTAGAAGTGAAGCACTACTTTGAAGCTTGGGTCACCAGATGGGGTGTTCTTTGTTTACATTCAGAAGCTCGCTTGACACGGTTCTGATAGTATTTCGACACACGACAGTTCCATACAAATCGAAAAAGGGACACTTTCGCATGAAAGAAACATTCATAGTGTGATAGATAATAGCAATTTGTATAGTTTAGTGACTACGCAAAAATCACATTTTGATTATTTTTCGATAACTAACAACAGTGCGATTTTGATTATGAATTTGTTTTGTAAAATTTTAAGCTGTTGAACTACAAAAATATAGATTTTAAGAAAAATGTTATGCTTAAAGAAGAAAAATACCTTACGGTACATTTAAAACTGTATACGTCTTTCGATACCCTCGATAGAGTATTTTGCTACTTTTATTTCATTTTCCAAACGCCAAAATGTATTAAATAAAACAAATTTTTTTCACATCCATATATTATTATTGCAAAAAGCATGTATCTGCCTTTGACAAAATACATAAATATTCATTAAATTATTTATAAATGTATTTGAAATGAAGAATTTATTCACTTATAAACAACTGTGAAAGTACTGTGAAGAAATCTAATTATTAAATGTATCTAATTTATAATGATTATAAATGTTATCTAAATATATAATAACCTTTAATATTGAATTGTAAACATAAATTGAAATCCTGTTGACAAATACGTTATAAAACTATTTAAGCAAGAATTGTTCGTATTGGAAAGCAATCTGTTAAAAGGTATTGTAAAGCAAATGCTATGAGATGCGCACTTAAGAAAGTAATAAAGAGTTTTGGAATATGTATTGTTGAAATGAAGGGTAAAAAAAAAATCTGATAAGTATAATTAAAAGAATTATTCCCTTACATTTTATAATAACTCAGTTACAAGTTTTTTAATAATACTTAAAAAAAAAAAATCCTTATTTTATTCCCTTTCAGAAATGTTCAGAGAAAGTTAAGTACTATTTAAAGTATTTCGCTATAATTCTAATAATTCTCTAATTTAAAATGAACCGAATAGAGCATTAATTATAAATTGACTTACATTTTTCGATTTAAAAGATGCCTCAGAAGCCAAAAAATCATGTCATATTTAAGAAAGTATTTTAGGAAGAAGCTCTATAAATAGAAAAGAAAAGAAATAATGCATAATTTTAATATTAATAATACAATAAACTTTGATCTTAATTTTTGTACCTTAACCGAATAAAATCGAATTACCTTAATTTTTTTTCTAATGTAATTAACGAAAACTTGTGAAAATATTTCATTCAAATTAAACCATTCTGAGAAAACTGTCCTGTGAAAAGTATAGCATTTAATTCCGTTCAGAATGAAATGTTGTTTAAAAATATGTTGTTTTCATATACTTAGGACTCTGAAGTGTTGTAGAAAAAAAAATATATGCATTTATATGTATATTTACGACGTAATTACAAAATATTTACATCCGAACGCGTCAAATCCCATTGAACTCAATGTTAAATGACCCAATGTTTTGGTCACCACGTAGGGATCGCCGGTGCTTCAGAGCAGGGTACCGGAGAAACTTATTTAGGGCAACTCCATCTTACTTCCTATCTCCATGATAAAAGTGAAGGGGTCAAAATGACCCCTGTCTACAGTTCTAGGAATACATGCCAATATTTAAAAACTAACAAACCTAGAATGCTGAAAATTATTTTACAAATATTTGTTATCTATTTAGGAAAAGTCAAAGAATTCCAAACAATTTCTTCCAATAAAACAAAAGTAATCAGCGGTCAAAGCGTTCAGGCGTCAAAATTACCCCTACCGCCGTTCTAGTGTTAATGTAATGTTTTTCTGTAGTTAAATATTTATTATTGTGAACTTTTTTTAAAAAAAAAGATTTGTGTTGGGTACATACACTGCAGTCTATTTACAATTCTTAGTTCAATTAGTATTTCATTTTAAAATATATTTTTATTATTTTATATGGCACTTCATATCTGCTTTAACCTGGTCATATTTTATTGTTAGCTCAGTCAGTGCAAACATTACCATTACTGAAAATTAGACATTTTTCTGGTATAAGATGATTTTCAGAATTCTTAGCAATTAGGCCAGTGTTTAAAAGCTATTTTTATAAACAGTTCATGCAGATAAAAGAATGTTCTTGAAATTTACCTATTTATTTCACATAATAAACAAGTTATAATGGTCTTGAGATATATGCAGTTTGTAAAAACATGTTGGAAAAGAATTCACTGCAACGCCCAGCACTTTCATTTTAGTTATAAATCATACACAGTGGAGATTGATACATTTCATATAAAATGTTACATTGTTAGCTTTGAGTAATAAAGTATTTAATCAGTGTACTTTCAAAATGTTCCTCCATGTCTGAAGAGAACTTTAATCTTTAAGTGTCTAGTTATAAAAGAACAAAAAGTATGGGGAAGTATTATGTGATGTACTGGAATATATTATTGTAAAAACTTAACACTGACTGAAGTATTTAATTTTCAGAATAGTGTTTGTATTTTTTCATATGTATGGTTTTGTATTTCATCTGTGATTAATTTCTGTAAAAACTTTTAATTCAGTTCTAGATTGCATTTTAAATTACGTATAAATGTGTTATTTTCTGTTTAAAGATCACAAGTTTTTGATGCTGTGAAGAAGTTTTGACTGCATTGTATTTAAGACTATATTAAATGCATTTTATGCATGAGAGGCAAAAACTTAAAAATCTGTATATCTGAACAATTCAGTTATTGAGCTCTGTAAAAATTAGTAATTAAACATAATAAATGAGATACACAAATTTATTATCACAAGAACAAAGTGTAAGAAATGAAGCGATCAACGCATCTAAACAGTCCCGCTGCCATCAGACGAATAATATGATGATGAGATGGAGAATGCTAGGAAAGAGGTGGAGCTGGAATTATTGCCGCTGAAAACCCGAAGAATACAGGAGTGGGTATTCTGCAAATCTGGGCTGTGCTCCATCACTCATGTGAGCTCTCAGGCGGGGCTTCCCTTCAGCTTTTGCTCCTCTGCCACTATAACTTTCACGAACTGGATATGCAAGTGTGGAACTGAGGAGGCAAATGCACATCACCAATACTATTGCCATCTAAAAAGAAAAATATGATTAATGTGAATAAATTGTGTAATTTATTAAGAAATTCAATGGAACAATTGCTTAAAAGCTGAAGCTATCTTATTATTCAGTTTTGTTATAATTTATCTCTGAATTATAATATAGTCTTGATTATTTTTCTAAAATACATGCTCAAATAGCATTTTAAATATCTTGTGTGTAAATGCTAGGACTTGATATCCTACCCACAAAGATAATATCAAGTAAAATAACTGATATTGTTATTCTGAGATCAGTTTCTAAATAACTGTTAGTGCAATACTGTGGATTGCATGGCACTGCATAAATATACCACTTATATTAATCTTGCCCTGTAATTTTTGTTGTAAAATTCATTGAAATATTCTTTCAATAAATATAATAGAAATCTGTATAATATAACACAAGTCCAACTATCTCTTCAAATATGCCGCTCATGAAAATTAAAGTGTAGTCAAAAAAATTATACTCAGTTGATATTCAGTGGTATGTTTAACTATGTTAGTTATTGATGTTAAATTACACTTTTGTGCTTAGATTAGCTCAGGAAGTATGCATATCGATAAATGACAATGTGTTGAAATTCGGATGCATAATGTTTAAATTAAATGTGGTTTCTGAGAGTGATGTATATTATTTAATTATGATTGAAATTTATTATTTAAGTTAGAGAAAAAGGATAATTGGTAGATTTCAGAGAGGACTATGAATCTTGGTCGTCCAAGGTTTGAATAACCCTCTAAGTGTTGCATTTTAAGCAGTGAATCAGTTAGTTGAACATGTTAAAAATTTTAACAAGAGTAACAGTTGACTTTTCTATCAATGTTGGCTTGAAGAAACCATGAAGCAACTACAAAAGAATTGCTTTTAGGCCTTAGGTTGCCAGAAATTCAAATCAGCCATTCTGCTGCTGCAAAAAGGCTCCAGGACTTTGTCAGAAAATCAGTCGCTTGTGCCCCAGTTATTCCATCTTCCAAAAGCACCTGTTTACAGTGGTGTAATTGCATTCAGTGGAGCTAAGAGAAATGGTTACCGTTGTAATCCAGGTGTAGCTTAAAACTGTGATTTAGACATATTTTGATGTGAAGGAGTGAGGAGCAGCCAACTTGCCTTTACTTATTCATAAGTAATCAAATTTCCACAGAAGTGGTTTCATGGTTTGGGACGAAATTGTTAAAGATGGTTACGCCAAGCTGCGTATCTTTGATGAAGGTTGTGTAACATGTCATAGATAGGTGGTGAAAGTTTTGAAAGCCCTCTAAAGCTATTTAGGAGTACTGTTGGTCCAGTTTTTTGCTAATACTTGACAATAAAGTTTCCATAAATTTGTCTTTTTCTCAAATATTTTGAGATTAATCAACTTTCAAACATGATATATGTTAAATAATGCTTTCTACAAATTGTTTTGAAACATTTTCAATTAGTAACCGTTAAGTTTTATTTCCATCAATACCCTTTAATTAGGAGGAACATTGTTACATTATGCAATTCTGTGTAATGTGCTGGTAAAATATTAGGCATAAAGGGGTATTTTTATCAACTTCTCTGTACCATGGTTGGGATTTAAAAGTTGCCTTTTAAAAGACTTTTCTCATTTTTTTAATCAACCTTCACAATAGAATGGAATTCAGGGTGTAGTCATATTTTGATTAGTGAAAACTACATTTATCCAGAGAGAATATTCCACAACTTATAAAAATTCATTTTCTTAAAACACACAACTAATTTATCCTTTAGCTCATAATCATGGACTAAAACTAGATTCAAATTTTCATTTTTATTGCTCTAAAATGAAACTAGGAAGTTATGCATAGTTCATACTTTTTCAAGGTTTCATTACTTTTCATTGACATAAAATTACCATCAGAGTTGGGCCTACACATAATTACTTTTTGATTAATATTTATAAACATGTATTAGCTGAGTTTTGTAGGCCTATCTGTTATGTCCAGCCATTAAATTAATTTAGATAAATGCTTTTCATATTCATCTAAATTAATTTAGTGTCTTAAAAAATACTGTTATCATCGTATATTATTTTAATGCAATAGATGACTCCGATTAGCAGGCCACATCTAAAAAGATTTGTGACAGAGGATAGAAACATTTATCATAAACCATCAGAGAAACTATTTATGGAAAACAGAAAAATGCATGGAATAACACCACTGGTAATTAGATGAAGATATAGTATTTGGGAGTTAACTATTCATAATCCTTAATATTGTGTAGTCATCGGTGATGTGACATAACTAGAGGAAGCGACACTTTCTGCGTGAAACATTATTTTACAGGGGTTAAATCGGGTGAAGATTAAATTAGAGTCCAGATTGTCAAATGGAATTAAGAATCATGTTTTTACTCTATAAAGTAGTTATAAAAATCATGTTATGATTTTTAACAGCTACATACTCTTGTTATACCTTTTTTTTTTTCCATCAAAACTGTTGAATGCAAATTATGAATATCAACTACTGTGTGATTCCATTGTTTATATGAGTAAAATTTGACTCAAGAGAAGAGAAAATATAAAGTAGTATATTTTAAGCTTTTTATTTTGACATTTGATCAGAATTTGATTGGTTTTTTTCTAAAGCAGAACTTAAAATGAAAGAGGACTTTATATGGGGATTTGGCTTATATTCCGTGTATGCATTGGAAAAAAGGCACAGTCTGTTCACGAGGACAAACCGTCCGTGTTAAATAATTTTATCCACATTTAGGTTTATGCAAAGTTTGATTGTAACCAATTAAGCTCAGTATCAAAATTTAACATAAATTGAAGTATTTAATGATATGTATGTTGCCTCGAATGAGAGGACAGACAATTTACATCCATGCCTTCTTCGGAATTCGAACCCGGGACCTTCGGTATGGCAGTCAGTCACTAACCACTTTCCTTATGAGCAGCGAGAATCGTAAATTAAGCCTGTATGTTTTGAAAGGGAAACTGTAAACACAGTAATAGATCAGTTTTTTTATTTATTAGCTTATAAATCTTTGTAAGAATGCCAAGAGATGGCGAAAATAAACGGCGGAATTTTTATTACTCTTTGGAGAACTACAGATTTGTGCGGGAATCAAATGTGGTTGGAATACCGATTATTGCTTGTATTTGATTCCAGGTAAAATAAAAATTAAACTTTCTAATTTATTTGCTTGTTTTTAGGCTGTTTAAATAATATAAAATATTTTTAATAATAATGCGTTAAAGAAATGGGTAATAAGTTTTGTTTCGATTAAATAAAACATCTTTTAGCTTAAGATGGCATTAATAAATAATATATATGCTTAATTTTAATGCATTCTAACATAAAAATTTATTTCGTTGTTTCATTTTAGTAGAAGTAAGGGTAGATTGTATGTTTTGAATTTATTTTACGCATGGAGGAATACTTTTTAAACACGAAAAAATTTTTAATTTGATGTTGGCTTTACAGTAAATACATATTTAGCCTACAGAGAAAAAGGCCACAAAAAAGTCTTATTACCCGGATAAGTGGCGATCCAAGTTAGTTCGGATATTTGGAATTATTTTTTATTCTAGTCTTCGTAAAAAGACGCAAAGGAGAATTCACTTAATGAATGACAGATTGTAGTACTACAAGACGGCAGAAAAGGTATAGAAAATTTTTAGTTTCCCCTATTTTAAATCTGAGATCAAATAAAAAGCTAAACAGTTTTAAATTGCGATTGTGTTTGCACTTGTCATAAATGATAGATAAATATTAGCGGTACTTACCGTATGCCTTTGATTTGCCATGGCGATAATTGCTTGATCAGTCGAGTGCAGGTATATTTACTCTTCACACGATGGTTGAGATCTATTAAATTCTACGAAGTAGGTAGAGGTTTATATAAACCTTCTACTCGTTTTGAAGAGGAGAGGGGGGACATCATGACGTCATTCACCGGCACTCGTTGGGCAACTTTTTCTGGAATATTCTATCTTGGGCTAATTTCGGTGTGCGTCATCTCGAGATTTGTCGTTCTCTGATGTTGCCATCTTTAACTGCTGGTGAGGAGAGGGGGAAGGGGCCTAATCATTTACATTAACGTTATATAAATCTATCAGAAAAATGTCAAGTTTATACTATAAATCACGAACCAAAATCGAAATCATTAAAATCCGAAATTAAGCAGAAATGTTGTACGTGAATCATTTTAACTCCACACTTTGATAGAATGTCTCTTTCTAATTAAACAGAAATGCTATACGTTAATCATTTTAAGTCCATACTTTAATAGAATGTCACTTTTTAAGTACTTCTAAATACCTCTAAGTAGTCATCTATACGAGGGACCTGACTTCATGGGGACGTGCCCCAAGCCTCCAGATCATCCTCGTAGAGTATTTACTCGTAAAATATTATAAAAAAAAAACTTTTATGTTTTTTTTTTTTTTTTTTTTTTTAATTCTAGGTTTTAAAAATATGAAATTAGGAGCAGAACCCATCAGAAGAAATTATTTTCGCAATATAATTACATTAGTTGTGCCATCTCTGAAACTGAATTAAGCTTTGTAATAAAATCACTAAGAATTCTTCACGCCTACCCCCCTCCTTTCAAGAAAACAAAGTGAGGAAAATACAAGATTCTGGTTTAAAATGTGTAAGTTTGTATTTCATACAGCAAGCACTTAACGGAAACGATGGAAAAAAAATGTATAAAACATCCAAAAAAGTAGTATATAATTTTTTGTTTAATTAACTATGAATGAATAATATTAATTATAAGGTAATTTGCATCAGCTCCACCAGCGGTCGCTGGTAGTTTCGGTTTGGGTTTCGAATCCCGACGAACGGACTGACTGCATCGGCACTTTTGTGTTTTTTTCTCTATGTGTGACATGTATATGAACCAATTTGCCTAAGAAATTCCTCCACGAAGGCTCCCTTCCTAAAAATTAGTAAAAACTAATTTTTAGATACATGCTCGGCCATAGGAATTAAAAATAAAGTCTTACGGCTATTAATCAAAATTAATGCAATCATTCTTATATATGTCTTAATGCAGTTGATATATGGGTGCTCCACGATTTTATTTTTAGTCCGATGTCTGTGTGCAGTGCTTGTTCAGACAGAGAATAGCTCAAAATTTTGAAAATGTACGTTTGATCATTTCTTGTTTTTTTGCAACGTTAAACGAAACGGCGTAATAAAAAAAAAGTCGTTAACCTCCGCCTTCAGTTGTTTTCTATTGAATAACGTACACTCTTAAAAAGCATTTGCAGCAATCGTGCAATCGTTGTGAAAAATGTATATATTTATAGGATGAATATGCTGAGAAGTCACAGCAATTGCAGATTTCTAAAGTAAATATTTTCTTTTCTTCTAAAATAATCTCAGACATTAAAAGCAAAATGTGTCCTGTGAAAATTTTTCGCTTATCATTAGGAGGCAAATAATTAACGTTATCATCTTAGTTTTTTCCCTCCCCCAACCCCGAGTGGGAGAGGGAAAGAATGAACCTAAAAAATACTTGTATTACCAAATCTTAACGAAGAACAATTAAATTTCTTATTAATTCAACAATCAAACGCATGGTAGTAGAGAGGGAGGAGAGAAATGTAGAGGTAAAAACATTACTTTCTTTCATTATGTAGGCGAAATAGTTTCTTCTAATGTGTTCTGCTTTTAAAAATCTAAAATTGAAAAAATATGGAGAATACTGTAGGTTGATTTGGAAGGTTCCTCGAAAGCAAAGCCTTTACGGAAATTAGGTTTTGATTAGGAATCGAAATTACAGGAAAAGATGAGAGAGTAAATGTCAAGTCGGCCATTTGCAAGAATGTTATTTTTAAAACATAATATATAATTCCATAAATTGCATTTAATGTTGAAAGTCAGAAAAACAATGTTGAACAAAAATTATTTAAATTATAAATTACACGCTACCTTATATATAACGGGGAACGCGTAGTTTACGAGTTACGGAACGTTTAAGATCAGTGATAAGTGACGAGAAGATGCGGAGGTAACTAGCTTCTGCATTACATTTACATTTTTTTTTTTTTTAATTTTTTTTTTTTTTTTATTATTATTATTATTATTATTATTTTAATTTCCCTTTCCCCTACTGACCTACAGCACAGAATACTTTTTTACTTCTCGAATAAAAAGGCCTTCATATCTGTCTCCTTGTAGATGAAAGAACTTTTTCGCGAAACTGATGTTAACCCCTGTTTGAATTTTGCCTTAATTAAAAGGCTGAACTGTAATCTAAGCTAGCAGAACAGCATCTCGGAAAGCAAAGTTTTTTTTTTTTTTTTAAGGCTTCTTTCTACACTATGCTACAAATTTGCATAGCAATTCCTTTCTGGTAGTCGAGACAATTTTTTCCGACCATTGTGGACAGTTTTCACCAAGAAAGAAAAAGATGAAGACCATATTCATTTGTACTTAGGCGCTTTCTGCAGGAATTTAGAGATTGGGCCCTCGAATCCCACGACTTGGAAAAGATTCAAAAATTCGAATTTTCGTGATTTCAATCCTAACCTTAAAAAAACCGTTACGTTTTAACTCAACACTTTGCTAAGATTAGCGTCATTGAAAGAAAGAATGTGACTTATACAAGGTGTGTCTAAAAAGTACCCAAACTTACATTTTCCGGTGCACAGTAACGATGCTAGGGCGGCGGCATTGTACACAACGTCGTCGCAATGGAAACATCCCGAATCCCCAAGGCCGAAAAAAGTGCGACAGGTGTGAAGCAAAATCAAGGCGTTGCTTACTGTTACTGTGGAACTGTGCGTCACGAATACGCATCAGGAGGACAAAGTATACTATCAATAAGTTCACCACCGAATCCGTGATGCAGTTCGGCGCAAAAGACAGGCTTCTGAACGGCGAAACACTGGCATTTGGATCATGACGATACTCCCAGCATATTAATTGCTCTTGATCCATACTTTGTAGACTAAACGTGGAATTCTAGTCTTTCACCAATTTTTTTTTACTCTGCAGGCATAGTTCCTTGCAGCCTCTGGTTGTTTCGAAACTGAAGACGTCATTGAAAGGATCCCCTTTTTGAGATTAGCGAAAGGATAGTGCAGAACGCGACGCCGGAGATGAATAACATTCTAAACGAAGCCTTCTAGAAATGCAGTGGTAGGATCAGTGGGCTATGTGTGTGGAGGCGCAAGGGGCTTATTTTGAAGGGAATTAGTGTTCCAATCCGTTCGCGTAATATATTTTTCGCAGCCAAAGGTCAGATGTAATTTAGACAGATCTTTCAATAGGCCTTGATCATTCGCATCACGTTGTGGCGCTCCTGAATTGTATATTTTTACTTTTCTGAAGAGAATTTAACATGTAGTATTAACCTTTTATAATTTTTCTCCTTCTTTGATTTAAGAAGGTTAAGAAGATTCAGGAAAATTTTTAAAAAGTCTGAATTGTTTCTGAAATGGTTTTTGTTTTATTATGTTGAGAAAATGAAAATCGAGATTGAAGAATTTTAATTGTATACTCGATTTACTAAATTCCCCTTTCATCTTATTAATAAATATAGGTTTGTTTACGATTGCGGGAATCTGACCGGTGCTATGCTGCGTGATTAGGAGAACAAGCCATCCATGTTGTAATTAAATTCTGAATTTCTTTGAAAATATTTTTTATTACATTTAATCTAAAGATGAGTGACTTTCATGCACAAATGCGTATAACTTTATTTACACAGCTAAGACAACATGTGTAGATCAGAATTATTAGACGTGCGACCTCAGTATCTCTAGGTTTAACGTTTTCGATTCTTATTTGCATTCTTTGTGCGTAAAAACCCAAAAAATACATCATGAAGAGTCAAGGTGCTAGAAGTGTAGTTTAACGGCTGGCAACATCGATTCAGAACAAAAATAGAGTTCTGTTGTATTCATTTTAGCTCATTTTTAGCCTTGTCCCTGAATGACTATTGTTTTCGTTTTGCGATTTTGCGTTGGCTCACTATAAATGTCCGTTTCACTTTTCAAACTGCTGCCACCAAATTTTAGAGTCTTTCACTGTATTTGAAGAAATTAAAAAATGAAAAATCTGCATAAATGTATGTATATTGCTCGCATTGTTATAAAATCAACTATAAATAGAGCCATCGAATTTTGAATGACGTAATCCTCCTTCGAATATGGGCATGTGAAAGACCAAATTTGAAATTTGGAATTTGTTTTATTATCGATTTCATATTTTGTAAAACTTTAACGAACTTTTGATTAACAAACTCAAGGATTTCAAAACGAGCAATGGCAACGTTGTACAGAAAAAAACATTTTTATCTCTAGCGGAAGTTCTAAAGATTATGCTCATTTTAAACCTATTTTGCGATATTGCCGTTCAACTGAATTTTATGATTTAAGTGCGAAGAACATGATATTTAATAAATAAATGTAACACACAAAATGTTAAAATAACGCCCCTTTGGACGTAATGTAAAATCTGAAACCTGCAGGTTTATTTATTTATTTATTTATTTTTAAGCCCAGAAGGACAATTAGTCTCAAAACGGCATTTTGCGTTGAATCATTTTAAATGTCTCAATCACTTTTCAAATTCTTGCCACCAAATATTATCGTCCTGTATTATATTTAAAGAAACTAAATAATGAAGAATCTACATGAATGTATGTTTGTTTCTTGCATTGTGAAAAAACAACGGTACCTAGAATCATCTAATTTTGAATAACATAGTCCTCCACTCGAACATGGGTACTTGGATGCCCGAATTTGGAATTTGCTTTATTGTCTATTGCATATATTATAAAACTTTAACGAATGTTTTATTAAAAACCTCAACAATTTCAAAGCGAGGCGTGACAACACTGTAGAGAATAAAACATTTTTATCTCCAGTGCGCGAGACTGTCTGTTGAAAATTCTGAAGATATGCTGTAGATAAATATTTTTATCA